GAATCAGCATACGAAGGACCTTTCAAAGTTCTCCAACGAGAAATTAAGTACTATATAACTGATAAGAACGGAACTAACGACAGCATCAGCATCAATCGCCTCAAAGCAGCGTATTTCGAAGGAGATCCTATCTACGTCGATTTTTCTTCGGTACAATAGAACAACACGGCTCCCACACTTACAATACCCCATCCGACAACTAACACGCACGATGATACTTCGTCATTATCTGAGGATAAACTTAAAACAACGCGTTCTGGAAGAAGAGTGAGACTTCCAGAACATTTAAATGACTATCGCACGTAAGACACTAGTAAACATTTTGCTTCATCTCGATTTTCCATGGCAATATATATAATATTTGAAAAAATCAATTTTCGTATGCTTATATTTGTATATATTTATTATTTCGCTAATATGTATAGTAAAATTTTTTAAGAAAGAACAAGAAAAAAAACAGTTTGTAGAAATAGCTTTTACGCTGTCACATGTATATGAGTTTATTTTCCTTTTCTCTCCCACTTTGTGTCTGAAAGCGCGTACGAGTTTATTTTGACATGCAATTACATTTTCTTTTTTTCTTTTTCAGAACGGCTGGAAAAGACGATAAAAAAGAACTATGAGGTCAACGACGAAACAAAATTTTTCATCGTACATTATTTATTTACTATATTGTACTTCCTGGTCACTTATATTAAGGAAGGACGACCAGACGCTGCTAAACCTAGCAAGCTATCAGAAGAGTGTTTACCAACGGCAAACTCGTTGGGTTTAAACTTCTGGCTGGCCACAACATGGGTCATCACTACCCTACTGGGGGGAGTGATCTGTAGCGGTAAGTGAATCCCCAAAATAAATAGCTCTGTAAGTCTTCGACATTGGATGCTGACTACGTGTTCTAATGGACTCACCTAGCTGAAGGCGCTCGGTCATGCGTCCGTACCAGATCACGAGTGGGAACGCTGTGCTCAACATCACCTGCAATCGCTAGCCAGTCTAGATCAGTCCATCCACGATATATTGATAGCCTATCAAATATATCTTCGAATCTCCTCTATTCTGTCTATTGATTTCACTTGGTGGGTACGCTTCATATTAGAAGGTGTTGCTGGTTAAAGCGTTGTCAAACTCCAAATACCTGTGGAATCTTCAAACCTAAGTCATCACAAACGCACAAGTAATGTTAAGTCTCTGATGCCACCATTAACTGACCAAATAAATATCTTGGGAAAAATAACGAAATATGTAGATAGATATAGACTTTAGGTGAACTTAGATATTTTGATCAAAGGCTCTAAAAAATGGGGGATACACACCAACTCGATCAAGTATGTTCATTCACATTGTGGATAATAGGTGAATGGTAGAAGTGTCGTATGCCACAATTCAGTAACACAACGACTTTTAGGTAACAGTGTGACCACGATCCAAACACACGGTCGCAGTTAAGAGCGGCATGAGAAGCTAGACACTGATTCCGTCCTGCTGAAAATTAAAGTTATCTGATTGTGATATATAGGATATTAAGAAATGATTTTGAACGTGATATATCCTGTATTTCTTCTCCCGACGGATTTGGGCAACTCGACTGACATACCGAGCGAGCAGAAAAGACAAGAACTAACAAAATGCATGTGGGATCAGGCTTTCACGCCGAATCATCAATACTTGGAAACTGTTATCTGAAGAATTGATGCCCACCTCTTCAGTTGGCTCATTCAAAAGGAAACTAGATAATCAGAAGCCTACTATAAAAGGAATAGCACACACCGTAGGCCTTCTGTTCCCAATATGCAAATCTCAATCTGATCCGAATAATAAAACAAATACGTCACGTCATTTTGTCCTTCGTTTAGTGTACGTGTAGAATTATGGTCTACTTCGTTATTAGTACTACTAAAAGAAATAGACCTAACCCTAAAAGTATCGATTTTTTCATGATGTAGCTACCCAATCTACAAGATCCTACGTGGAAGTCACATCATTGTCAACACTGACTCATCGTGTCGTAACAATGAACAATATGATACTTAGTAATTGTGAAGAAGACATTTAGGATGAAGATAAGATAATATTTAATGTCAATAAAGACAAGTTACACAGAATGACCATGTTTGCGAGGCTGAGCCATGGCGTGCGATCGAATCGAATTAATACTTCCCACCTACTCCACTGTTGACCTTCGTGTTAACTGTTAAATATGCATTTTCCCGGTTATCATATTTTCAGCTGTGAAGGTTGTGTGATTAGAACGAATACTACTACATACGAAAATAATCGCTTTGGGCAAGTACGGCTATTGTATTCCATATCGTACTCTGTATAAAGAATTTACTTAACATCCTGACAACGATCGCTGTTACTATCAACATGATCAAATCTTACAGAAGACTTAAAAAAACTATCGGCTTCTGGTTTCGATCTCTAGATTGTCTTAATATGAGAACTGTGTTGTTTTTTTAGTGCTGTTTGTCGCTTTCCGTAGTAAGTGTAAGTGTGCTATGTGTGCTTGCTGGGTCTTCGACTCCCCTTTTCTTTTGTTCTCCTGTTTCACACTCCTCCTCACTCACTCAACTTTGTATGTTCCTCTGTGTCTAGACGTGAAACGCTTCGTTGCCTACCTTTAACTATTCATATGAGTTTCTCAGAAATGCCTTTGTTGTAATAAGTCAGTGGTTCATTAATAACCTTAGTCTTAATCAATGCGCTCCACTCAAAATATTACCTGTAAATTGGTTTTCTGTCTGGTATTACTAGCCTGGTAAAGAAAGCGTACGAGCAATAATATACACGAAAAGTTTCTGTCACTTTCTTTTCGTTTAGTTTCCATCTGTGAACTAGATTAGGTCTGCGTAAACATCTGTTGTGTAAACGGTTGTTTTGATCTCGGGTTAAATACTAGTGTGATAATTTGCGTACACTAATCCTGTCTTTAAGTAAAATAATATGTGATGTGTACATAGGTAAATATTTCCAGCCTTCCCATTTTAATGTGTCAGAACATGTTCTTCTCCTAAGGAAATATCTAAATCAAAGAGATGTCGTCGTTTAATGTATAGTGTATGGGGATTCTAGTGTATAGAACTCTTCTTTTATCTACGTAGGTAAATTTTGCCCTAATGCTAATAGTTTCTGCCGAAGAATATAGTCAATACTTATTCTGTTGATCAGTAGGATACAAATTTTCATAGTTTCTTATTTTCGTTCAGGTATTCAATTAGAATAGTTGTGTTTATTGTAAAAATAGTAAAAAACACATCTGCTATGCATACATGTGGTAGCTAGCCTTAGCAACGTAGTAAACATCGGCTGAAGTTAACGTGATTCTGTAGCCTTGGTTTACCTACTGAGAGCTCTCAGCGATGAGTAGTTAGATCCGGTATCGAGAAAGTCCTCTTTTCCCCAGATTTGATGGACCTTATTCCCGTCTTTTATTTCAAGTGCGCGATTCAACATGATCTTTGTGTATAGAAAATACTGAATCCATTCCTAAGTACCAAACAAATTTTCCTCAAACTTATGAAGTCGTTCCTAGTCGGTCGTACATAAAACAGAACCCCGTATAATTATGTATCTACTGTAATTTCTTGAATTAGGGAGTTTGCATGCCTCTGCACACTTCAACCTTACAATAATAAGACAGATTTAAACGCCACTCCACTACCCTTGGCACAGAGAAGTGATGCCTTTAATCTTTACATTGGAAGCGTATCTAGTAACTGCATGTATCTGTTTACTTGTGTTAAGTCCACTGCTTTACTTGTATCACTTTTCAAGACAGTAATACCGAGTTCTAAATGGACGAATGATTTTGTCGCTCGATACAGGGTTCTCAAAGTATCGTTTTTCGGAAACGATATTACCAGTTACTTTAACGTAGTACTGTGATTTCTGTTTTTACTTCTTAACTAACAATTTTCTAAGGATGTACTCCAACTTATCGCTCGCTTACCCTCCACTTTTTTATTCATATATGTGCAAAACACAAGTTTATCTCGTTATGTACACATACTGTTTTAGTCAAACGGGCTACCTATTTTAAAGCATTTTCTGTCAATGTATTTTTGAAAAAGATGGATTAGTTGTTATCTTTGCCACATCATAGTTTGTAGGTGTAGCAATGTATTCATTTTCCCTCGTGTACTCTGATCCTCATCCGTCTTCATGATCTTCCGAAAATTTCAAATCTTGGTACAATTTTTACTTGATATTTTGTAACCGTATCTGGTTCATTCACGTATTTGAATTCTAATAGATAGCATACAGTTTTGAATTTCAGGTTATTTGTCAGTCCTAGCAATCTGATATCGTACGGTGGTGTGACGTTTCTTAACTCCTACTAATAAATACAGTGAACGGTACTACTCCCATTCACTTCGCCCCGCTATCTAGAGCAAAAAGTCGTCAACGATGGCTACAGTAGATTCTAAAATACATTTTGGATAACCAGTTGAATATCGACTAAGATAGCTATAGTTTATGAACATAGTAGTTCCCAATAAACCAATTATGGTGAAAAATGCACTGGAAGTCCATAGACAAAATTCATAATGTGTAAGTTTGTGTTAAAATCGTTCATCCTAAGTAAATATTGATTTCCTCTCAAGTTGTATTTAGATGCTTGGTGTCTGTAATATAACTATGTAGTGTCATTAATCATTGCGCTTGCTAAAAGATTCTGATAATATACAAACACACGCATTTTGTCCCTTCGTTTCTGAATAAATTTGTCGTATTCTTTTGATTCTTTGTCACATTTTTGGTTATTTGTTCCCGTAAAAGTCTTATAACTGCCTACTATAATTGTCAAAACGACATACACATTACTTGTGTCTTATTTTTCATTACATCCACTGAGTTTAACTATTTTTTCGGTTGTTTACTTATCCTTGTCTATTTTCCTGTTTTTTGTTGTCAGTATTTTTTTGATGAAAACAGAAGCTGTACCATACTCTAGTCATAGATAAGTTGTATATGATTGGTCTTCTGACTCGAAAATTATGACTTCTTTCGGAAAATATGTTAGTAATTTTGTCAAAACAGCTGTTTCGTCTATTTCTCCTAATAAAGTAACACCTTACACTTTAAGCCAATACGAATCTGAATACGAAAAGTGAGTTCATTTTAAATATTCAAATACTTACAAATTATTCCTAGTTGTGAACAATTACTACAACAAAAGTCAATTTATTATTTCTACAAAGTGGCAAATCATTTTGATATGGTTTACTTACCTGGATCAGTTGGCATTCCAGTCAATGGAGAGACTGTTTATGCTTACAGGTGTTTATCTACTTTCATTTATTAAAAATGTTATTCACTCTTAAATTTGTCTAGTTTATTTAGATTTCAAGGCGAACAAGAAGCAGGCGTCGCTGTATTTTTAAGATACATAGAAGTTTTGGATCCTCTGCATTTAGCCTGTATGAACATGAGCTTATCCATTGATCGCACATATTTGGAGAAAATAACTGCACACTGTCGAAACCAATGTGGCTGGTCAGCTGCTCATGTAGCTGCAGCAATGTCTTGGCGTGAGGTTTTCTTAAGCGAGTCAGTAAACGGGTAGGTTTATGGAATCTTGTCAGCTAATTAATTTCGCATTTCAGTCTTTTAAATGAATATGATCCTCTTTCTGGTCTAACTCCACTACGAGTCGCAATCAAAGAGAATGATGAAGAGACAGTTCAGTCTTTAGTAACTATGGATAATATCAAGGCAACTGAAAAAGATGAGGATGGTAATACTGTTCTCCATTTGGTTTTGGGAGATACTTCGGCGAAAATTTTATCTGTAAGTTTATATATTATTATCATTTCTTCGGAACAAATATCTAGCTATAGTTGACAATATCTGAGATATATTTAGGTCTATAACATGTTAAGTTGTCCTAAACTATTTGTTATAAATAGAAGATATAATTAAGTATCACAGAACACAGTTATGTGTTACTAAGTCACTTCTATAGACCTTACCTATACTCATCCGAAGGTGTCCCTAGTCTGAAAGGTGTAGTCCAAAAAGTACCTGGTCACTTTTTTTTTTATCTTCCTCTAATTTTTCACTTTTCGAACCATAATTTCTGATATCTAATATCTCTTAGTATCATTGGTATTACTACTATTATACTCTTTTGTTGTTGGTCTTGTTGATTTCGTCTCATTGTGCTGATATGAAGTTACAATTTGGGCTTATGTGTATCTGTGTGCCTGACTGATTGGTCGTTTCGCTTGTCTGGATACCAATTCACTAGATACTGTTAGTAAGTTAGCAATCTGGATTGATAATGAACATCAAATACTGTATTTTTTTGTATCCCGTACGGAATTATCTGCACAAAAATTTGCAATAGTTTTGTTATTACAGAGTGACTTGGCTTCGAGATAGTTCCGTAGGCTTCATTTATCAATCACTCTGATAACCGTTATTAAATAAATATCAACGGTGTGTGAATTCAGAAGGTGACACAAGGCGCCGACTACAGTTTATTATTGGATAGCGCAGATAACAAAGCTACAAGCACATCAAGCGAATTTGAGCAGAAGGGCTAATGCACGCGACCAAGAGAATACAGAGTTGAATCAGTTAATACAACTCACGCACACATATATATGTTTGGGAAAGCGAATGTTTCATTGAGCGATATTTAACTAACTAGGAAAGAGGTATGTGCGTACGCCATCACGTGTGATCAAGCATACCTGATTATATAAACATGATAATAAAAATAATACAAAGAAATAAACAAATTGATACTGTTCGAATTACACTTTCTATTAAATAAGTTAATAGAAGGCGTCGACAAAATTAACCGTAAACAGACGTAACTGTAAGACAGCTACTATACCACATTTGATCCTAAAAATGAAACCATTTTTAAAAATACTCTTCGTAGGTTTGTATTTTCCTTCGTTGATATTTAGCACCGAATTCTGGTCAATCTCTCACCATATGTGCCTTGTTATTGGTTGTATTCATAAGCTTTTTCATACTTTCGTTTTCAATAATACAACTGAATCCAAAGACTGAATCTTGTTACCTTCTGACATGTTCTTTGAATTTACTGTTTATCTTCATAAAAAGAGTAAATGTCACCTAGTTTAACTAGTCTCTGGTAACTTTCGAGCTCACGAACTTTCAGCTACTGACTGAATAGTGTGTAAAATTTAACCCGTTTTTTTTAAAATGAGATTAAACTTGTCATCGTCTGTCTGAAACGTAAAAACTTAGCGACAACTAATAATTCATTCATTTGTTGCTTAGTTTAGTAAAATCCCGGGATGAAGTAATAAAAATTAACCATCTCAATGTCCAGCTAATCTTCACCTATTATTCCGATGATAATTATAAATTAATCTAATTAAAATCCATTTCTAATTCCTTAATGAGCTAATCACTACTAGTAATTGGGATAATTTGTAGGTTAGACGTCTTAGTTTTACCTGAACTTTTTTATTTGATGATGACTATTTTATCAAATATGGAAACTTTAAAGTTAGTTTATTGAAGAATTGAAGTATTCCTAAGTAATATGAACAGCTAAGATGTTTTTCTACTTTGGGAATTACAAAATCATGGGCGAATGACAGTTTCTATCAAATTATACTTGAGGAACTTAACTTTTATTAAACCATGTTGATGAAAAAAGTCAATGTGACTTTGTGCCATCATTCTTGATTATTGGTTTACTCAGTCGGTTTTGAGCCAGCTGGGGGACAAACAAATTTTTTAGTTGAATTCCAGACTATACTTTTAAAGTGTCCTTTAATTGGAGTTTTATTCGATCCCCAAACTCTGAAAAATCCTCTCAACACTGTAGAGTTTGTATTCTGTATAGTCCTTTACCTGTTCTTAATTAAAAATGAGATCATGACCGCTGACGTGGATTTGTATCCGAGAAGATGTATTACGTCGTCTTACTGCAGGCTAGTATCCATATACTATTTACATTTCAGATGTTATTGAAAGATCTCTTAGGGTTGAAATCATTGATAATCATGACTTCTACATTCTTCATGAACGCTAAGAAAAACTCAAGTGAAGTGGATTATGTGACGAGTATCTCTATTTTAACTGTACTATGGGCTTTTCATCGTTATAATATTCTGTTATCTCTCCAGTTTCTCTTTGTTGCCGCCATTTCGTTTTGTACAGGATATTTCTTGTTGTGCCACTGTTTTCACTTATGCTTTTTAGCATCATGATAAATAATAATAATCTGTGTTGTCATATGGTTGACAATCATTGCTGTCAGTTCTTCATTCTACTATTCAGACTAAATCTTTTAGTCTAGACAAAATATTCTGGAATTATTTTATCTGTTTGCGCACCACTGTTGCTTTAAAAGATCAAAGTTATTGAATGGTTGTTTTTGAGATATTCTTGTTGTATGTAGGGTTAAACAAGCTTATGTGGTAATTTGTTGTATTTATGTTGTTCTTTCTTCTTATAGTAGTTTTCGGTGAGAGTAATTAGGTACTCCTTGACATTGAAGATTTCATTTAGGAAATTTTCATTCTTTGCAGTACTTAAATGCAACAGTGAGTCATAATTGTGAAAACAATATTTTCATATATGTGAACTATAGGGTGGTTGGAGTAGTGGTTTGAAATTGAGATTGTGTATATTTTACGCACGCACTTGGATTTGTAGTATAAGTTTAAATGTTTTACTGATAAGGTGATTATAAAAGGACCAAATTTCACTGTTCATTACTTACGTTTCACCGTTTTAGCAATAACTAATAATAATGACTTTCCAGTTTGAGTTGCATTTTATGTTTTAAGTTTTGTTGTTGGATAATACGTAGGCTGTAAGACTTATTTCAATCTGTTTTTTAGATTCGATCTCATGATCGTATTGGACTTTAAGAGATTTCGGTTTTTGCTGAGACAGACTTCTAATATTTTCACTGACTAGATTTTAGTCCTTTAATACGAATTTGTGGCGAAGATACAGTTTTCTCTAACGTTCTTTATGTTCTCAGGTTTTTTGGTTTTATACAACCGTGTAATTGAACTGATTTAGTATTCACTTTGATTGACAAGTTGTTGGAGTTTTTTGTATAGTTTAATAAGTTTCAGCCAATAACATTTTCGTTTCTATTTGAATATTTGTGGGTTGTTTATTTTTGTTGTCAGTTGAATTTTGTATATTTAGGTATGTTAGATTCACATACTACTGTTTATACTTTTTAATTCAACTAACTTCACCAATGAATACAATTTTCTTTGTAATCTTTTTTGCTTACTTATTTGAGCAAATGTTTATCTGGTATCAGACATATGCTTTCATTGTTGTGTAGTTCCTGCTCTTTTATGATGTACTTTGTTTTGTTCATGACAATGGTTTTCATCCTTTAGTTTATTATCACTGTAGGGTTATGGAGATTGTTGAGTTTAGATTGATATGATAAATGGATCAATGTTAGACTACCATCGAAAACCTGGAGGCACTGGATGGCTGTTTCGTCCTAGCATGGGAATCCTCAGTAGTGAGCATTCACGATCCCGCACTCGGGACTCGAACCCAGGGCCCTCGGTCTCCCACGTGAACGCTTGACCTCTAGATCACTGACTCAGCATCTAACGGTGCTAATGTCTTACTTCAACCAATTCACAATTATTGATATTACTATTAACTTGATGTAATATTAGTGCAGTCTAATTCTGTAGTCAATTTTAGTCTTGCTTGATCACTTAGTATTTCCTGATAAAGAAGAGGGATAATATCAGGATTTTAAGACCTAGTAACTAGAAGGATGCTGGCTGGATACCGGAATCTCATCAACGTATCATACTATGACCATAATTCCTTACTTTAACTTGACAGTTAGTACAACAGATTAAAATAACCTATGATAGTGTGTCATTAAATTGTTTTCTAATCAGAAAATTTTTATTATCGGTGCTTTAATTTGAATTCTAATAATTAATGATAAGATTATGACATTCAAAACTCTAAAATCGTCTTTATTTGTGATTTTTATTGGAACTGTTCAATTCATGCATTCTTGATTTGGCTTATGACATGTCTTTTGAACCTCATTCATGTTATTAAGATTGTTCATATGCAGTTCTCTGCATGCATTTGTAGCAAAAGTGCAAATGTATCTCAAACATTTTAAACATTTAAATGATATAGGATACTATGGATAGTTTTTATTCGACCTTCCACATGACCACAGTGTGATATTAAAATATAGGTGACTTAATCTACTTAACTAGTTATATTAACGTTTGTGGCCAGATTGTATTTATTAAGCCACGAATCACGTTTCTGCTTTATTTCTGCTTACTAAGCGTTGTGTGTAAAGATGGGTATATATATATATATATATATATAAGGTACATCCATAGGATGTTACTTCTGAAAGGTGAATATTTACTGTGACACGTTGTAGTCTTGTATACATGTATAATTGCGTTAAATCAGTTAGTTGATAAAGAAGAAACTTTTATTTATATTCAACTAGTTCCGTTCTTTGTTTCTGATTGCTTGTTTCGTTGAATTCTGTCAAATATATGATGAAATAATGTGAAAAATGTGAGAAAATTGATTTTTTTGAAAGCAGACGACCAGATAATTAAATATCCTTACAAAAATACGCATAAACTTAATCACTAATTTATCTTTAAATGCAAAATTACCATCGATTTACCGAGGTTTGACAAGAAAAGTGTAGATGGAAATAGGCAGAGAAACATTAAAAGGAATCAGTTTCGTAGATACATACTTCTCATCTTCATTTCTCTCTATTTTATTTTCTTTGTTTCCTTGTTGGTTGATATTCAGCTTCTTCTTGATAATCTTCAAAGCTTAGATGTGAATGCTTTGAATAACAAAGGTGAATCTCCTTTACATATTGCCTGTCGTAATAATTCTATGGAATGCATTGAAAAACTGCTTAAAGCTGGTGGTAATCCTATGATTGGTGAATTTGAATCATTTCCTATTCATATTGCTGTCAATAATGATTCACTTGAGTAAGTTTACTGTGAAATTGCTTTCTGTATGTCATCATTTCTAAAGAAGTGGCTTGTACTTGAGGTCTATGGTTGTATACATCTATGCAGATCATGAGGTTTGAGCTTAGCGGTTTAAGTATTCAATCTTCAACTATCGAATCATATTTTCAAAGAACAATGTAAGGATCTATGAGTCAGGTTGTTTGGTATTATTATAAATCGTCATGGATTATACTCAATTGATAAATCAATCTACAAATATGTATAAATTTACTGATTTGCATTAATTGTTTTCATGTTTAGACATATATAGGAGGGCAAGTTGATAATTGTGAATGACGTTAGTCGAGGGTAGTTACAGCAATATCACTATATTTAGGAGAAACATCTGTTCACTAGATTTCAATAGACTTGATTTTAGCTCACCATTTTAATCTGTTAGGTTGTCATTAATGACTCTACAAAGTTATACACTACTTCAGCTTCTTGTAAAGTCCAAATATTATGTTTTGCTGTTGTTGTCTGTGTTTTAGTAGTAGGATAACCATTGTACATTGTTACTTATTTGAACTTAAGGTTTACTGTAAAAGATAGAAAACTCGGAAAAGCTGTGCAAGGTTTCATTCTATGTGTGTACTTCAGTATGTTTTCTTGCTTACTGACACCACGAGTTTTTTTACACTAGGGAATATTTGATTATCTCATGATTGCTAAATTAATGGACTTGTGAAGTTACCGAAATTATTGTTAAAGACAAAATAATGATTTATTAGGTATCGATTTCCGCCAATTTTAAATGTGAATAGATTCCATATGTCAGTCGTCAGTCAAAGTCAACGTAAAGCCTGAAACAGAATTGCGTTGACCTAAGACGAAATTAACAACATAGGTAGTGAGGGAATCAAAGTAATATAATAGCGGTTATAATGAGAAAGGCTAAGCATTGAGAGGCATTTAAACTGATCTGAAGACATTTCTTGTAGCCGGAACCTCTCACACTCCGGGTTCACGATATTGGCATGCGTCACAAAGTCCTCCTATGGTTTTTTCACAAGCTGGATACACTGGTATCTATTGTGAAAAACTGATGATCGTTCTCCAAATATGTGTGTCAGGCGTTCTACTGTTTCTCTGAAGGTTGTGTCGGTTGGTTTCTTTAGGAGAATAAAATTGTAAAACTTTTCATGTTCAGAAACTCCGAGATTTCGTAGTAATAATCTTAGTTACGAACCTTCGTCTCACTCTACAATCATTAATAAACAGATCCTCATGGCGCTTAATCCAAATCTAATTTCATTTATTGAATTTGCAATAGAATCCGAAGTCATAGTGGAATTAGATACCAATAATTCGATGGGAGCATTTTGATGTTGCAATAAAGATTTCAGATCATCCATTTTATTGTTACAAAATCCTCTTTAACTGCATATATAGGCGTAGATCCGTTTTAAGCACCGTCACCACTGTTGTAATGCTCGGTTTGCTGGTCTACACGTATGGGACGTTAATTTGCCTTAGACGAATATCTACACTAAATACCCTTCCATTGTCTATTCTAAAGGATATCAACGCAACTCATATCAAGAACACGTGATTAGCCTGAATAGAACGTAAGTATATTTCCACACCAAAACTGACAACCATCACAGCAATAATAAGGGTAAGAAAATACATAACTCATCTAGTACCTGTCAGACTATCTACTAGGCTGACTAAACAAACAACCAATCACAATCATTCTCGCCCATGCATCAGGTTATGATATGCTACTTCTGCTGTTTATACCAATTACCAGTAGATCCTGTATTATTATTATTATTATTAGTATTAGTATTAGTATTAGTATTATCAGTGGTATTATTATTATATCTTAAGATCAATACTGTTAGGGGTTTGAACACTTGTTATTTGTAAAAGTTCGGTCGGAAAATGTTTCTGAAACTTTTGTTAACTTGCTTACTACATAGTCATTTCTATTAAAATTCTGTTTAGTTTGTATATAACTGTGTTTTCAACAAATAACAAGTTGGCAAAATTAAAAATGTAATGTACTTCTTATTTCACAAATAATTATTTCATATAGTATTGTTTGGATTCAATTGTTAGTATGCAAGTAGTTAACTGTCTTGGGTTAGGTCATTCATAAGTAAACATGCATGTGTATAGAAACACATAGTCTAACTCATCACTCATTGTTGTTTGTCGTAAGACGATCTTAATTCATCAAAGAAATTATAACCAAGACCATGAATAACAATCTCATGGTAAGTTTTTTTTATTGTCTCATTTCATTGAAGAAATATGAACGAGCACTTTTTTGAGATATATTCTGATCATAAGAATGAACCATTCAGAATAAATTCAAGTTTTGTGAAATCAATTGTTAGTTGAACGTGTTTAAGAACTAGCAACTACTAACAATTCGGATTTTGTTGGATCGCTACCGAAGGTGTAGGAAATGTTGATCTATTTCAATGGAATTACTTTGAATTTGTAACCTGTATTTCCTGTTTTTTTTTGCTATTTATAATTCACCTTTTTAAGACATTTTTGGTGTTTTTAAAGGCTTCTTAAAGTTTCAGACAAAGATGTTGGTAATGAATTACTGAAATCATGAATGATACGTTGTGATATTCAAATATGTATGTCACTTTCCACCTGGTTGTTAATAATACTATTCTAATTTATTTTCACTACTGATTCCGTTAAACCGTTCGTTTTTTCGTCTTTACTAACGGAATCAGATTTCATAGTGACACATGGATAATACAAAGTCGGAGAGAAATTTCATCTGATTTCATGTAATATTTGGTGCATTTGTTCAGTTGAATGATAGGTTTTCTTTTTTAGATTTGTAATTCACCACTTGAAATCTTTTCATTGTAAAAGTTTGTACCTCACCAGCGCTTCTATATATATATATATATATATATATATATATATATATATATATATTTGAATTTCTATATTGTAATCGTGTATTATAAATTAGTTGTACTCGACAATTGTATCCTATCTGGTTTTCATTAGTAATAATAGTACTGTCAATAATAATAATGTTTATTCTATTTATTCTTTTTTCTACATTATGAATAATACAGATGTGTTAATCTACTTTACACCTATTGTCCTAATTGTATCAATCTACCAGATTTAATAAATCATAATACTCCAATTCATTTGGTGCATAATCCGAAAGTAAGTATTTGATAATAATAATGATAATAATAATAATAATAATAATAATAATAATAATAATAATATACAGTCATGACAGTTTAATAAATAAATAAGTTGTACATTTTATCTAAATGAACTCCTTGGAAAATTGCGAAATCTAGTTTTATGCAACAAAGTAAGTAGTTATAAATTATTGTATTCTATTTTGAACCACACTTTAATGTACTGACTGATGATAGTATTTATCTGATTCAAATGGAATTAGATAAAGTTTTTAATTTGTTGATCAAAAGTCAAATACTTTAAATATGAAGCGGGTAGTTTTCAGTACATTAGTCAATCAAAAGAATTTGACCTGGCATAAACACACAACAGCTCAAGTTGTTTCGCGATATCGGCACTGGAAGATGAACCTGATATTGATGTATAGTAAGGGAGTCTTAATAATAGTGGCATTAGTGGTGGTAAAAATAATTAAATATTAAGAATACAATTTATAAAGGATTGTATTAGTGTAATAAAAGTATGAAATGACACTACAAATGAAGAGCTAGAGGAAAGGTATAAAAAGAATTCACATGTATAACTGCAACAGATTTTGAGTCATTTTACTTAACATCTCCAACCACTGATCATGATTATCTCGCTAGGTCCAACTAAGTGAATTTGTACCTTCCAATAAACTTTGCTTCAAAAGTCAATGAATTTATGGATTGATAAAATGTTTTTGTTTGAACTTCACTACATAGATGCTAATCGAAATGGAACTTTAATCAATTAAATAAAAAGCTTTTTAATTACCGGTAGGTAGGAATTATTTAGAAAATCATTTGCATGTATGTCGGTTCAAGTTGATACACTAAGTCACTGGAAATTAATCACAGGAAGTGCAAATAAGTGAATATCAGAATATAAACTGTAAAAAAGAACTGAAAGACAAAATATGAAGACAATCAAAAATAAACAGTGAGGTATGTACAATTGTATTATGTTTCATCCTTAGAAGAAGCCAAAAAATTGAGTGCATCTGAAAAGTTGGTATCAATTTTGAACCATCTAAAGTCTTTGAACGTAGCTTACGTTCGTCTACCGAACCCCAATCAAAAAGCGTACATCCATTGCTACATTGTTCACCTTAAGTCAATAATTTTATGAACGTACGCTTTCTTGTTCTGTCCACTCACAGCTTTTATCCAACTTAATTCCACACCACTTTACACAACACATGAGGTAGCTTGTGGTTGGTGATGCTTGGCACTTATCCCATACTTATCTGGTACATTATGCTTAGTATCAGCTGTAAGTACGCTACACTCTACTTATATCTTGTACTTCCAAACATGTTGTTTCACTACGTCAGTAGAGAAATGAATTCTCTCTTGTACACTCAAGATAATCTGAAGATGAATATCGAACAAGCTGTTTATTACCGTGACGACGGTTAGCTATAGGTATATGTAAACGAACATAATATGCTAGTTCTGTATAATATTTCAAAGTGACTTTTTGAGAAAAATATATTCAAGACTAAATTCCTCAAAATATTTTTTAAATGAATGTTGAATGTTATAATAATTAATCGGGTTTTCATATTGTCTTCATATTATTCCCTATTTCCCAACATTTTTTTTCAGCCTTAAACGTCATTAGTATCATTTAACTAAAGCTACTTGTTTTTTAAATTGTTTTCTAATTAGTCAAATTTATTCAGAAGTTGTGTACAATATAAGTAAATTCTTATTCATCAGTTCTTGTTGTTTTTGTTCGGACTGACGATACATTTTCTAAAATGTAATAATTTCTAAAAAAATTTACTTATTAGAGGTTTATAATATGGTGTTTAAATCCAACATATATATGTATCTATGTAATTATCACGTGATAAGACAAGTGTGTGGCAACTTCGCTATTATTTTTGTAAACACTTCACAATGGCTTACAAAAATGCAAAAGTAAGATAATGAGATTACTGTAAAGGTATTTGTTGAGGGTTCACAAATATCCTTCGATAAAGTCCCCGGAAGCCTAAATAGTGACTAAAAACGTTTTATTCTATCAGTATTGAACGGATGTTTCTCAGAAGCATGCAGAAAAGTAAGGGATTATGTATCACATTGCGATCGGATAATTACCTAGTCTGGTGCTACATATAGTAGTTTTTCGGAAGTTCCTAGAAGATCAAGGTCATCTAAAAACTTATACACTCCATTATCTGCTCATAGATTAGTCTTGAAGTAAAACGTTTACTTGGATTTTATGTATTTGAGTTTCAGTGTAGTAGTCTGGGGTTGTAGGAAGCGCTTAGGACATTAATAACAGCTGTTCAAGTAGCAAACTTATTAATACTAGCATTCCTATAATAGACCATTCATTATTGGCCATCTCATTCGAGAGCTAGTAAAATTTGTTATATTATTGCCCTTGTCAGTTACGCACCAGAAAAGTTTTTTACTGCAGTAGGGTTCTGTTTTGAAGGAGAGTTCTACAGGTTCTGACGATGACGATTATGCACATTTCAGTATTTTTAAAATGACGTACAGAACGCTATTTGATATACCATACGATATGGCTAACTGATGACTTCTTATGACATCAAATTATAGATGTAAGAAGCCAAATGAGCTGATGTACAAGGATATGGTGATTTGAGAGTAGAATACGTTTACTTCTAGTAAAATGACACTTATATACAAAACATCTAAATTAAAGATATGCGTAATTTGATGTGATTTAAGAAACAAACTTAGTTGAAGAGTTCCTTAGGTCACTCATTCTACAATCAAATTAGGATGACTATTGGGCCCGATTCTCCTCAATCATATCGGGTTTGAATCCACCACCTAGATATCGTAATTGTTCTATACACATGTATTACTATTCTATATTTGTATTTAAGACAGCTTGTATGCCTTCGTATTATTTTCCTTGATAAAGGTTAAGATTACAACACCATTTTCAAGCTGACGTATTCTTTCATCGGGGTACATCCGTGTGAATGCTAATATTCTTCCATTTTTGTTAGTTTTATCATTATGTGCTAGTGCAAATGTAACAACGCGAAGATATATACCTCTCCCGTTTTTTATCACATAAGTTTTGCATAAATAAAGAATTTTAAAACATGTGTTTAATAATTGTTTTCATGGATAGTGCCTGCCTGGATTTTTTGTTTTACGTATTTCATCATATTGTTTAAAACGTTTCCTTAATCTGTACTGGGTACTTATATTGTTGAAAATTTCATGATGATGAATTAATCGTTACCGTTAATTAGTTCTAGATATCACATCATATTTAAAAATCAATATAAAATGTATAAAGAAAAATATCTAAATAAACATGTTGAAAATTAATTTTACTGATGTAAGGTTATATGTGTTATGTCGATTATATATACTTAGTCGATATGACTTATTCACAATATATAGTAAATTCTTCGTTAATAGTCAGTCAGCTACAACGTAGGACCAGGCACATATTTGCATCGGTCCAAGTTGCCACACCTCATTAGCATAACAAGATGAACACCAAATTCATAGAAATAGTTAATTCAACGGAGGTAATATATAAAAGAAAGATTACATATAATGATATGGTACAGAAAGTAAACATTAGTTGGTAGAAAGAAAGATATAAAACAATTTTAATCTTATAGTTTGAAGGAAGACAAAGAGTGTATACACCTACACCATTGTGGTCAATTTTAAGCCATGTCACGCAAAGTCTGCAACCATCAGTTACGATAGTTGGGCGGACCCCAACCGAGTAGTTTGCATCTACTAACATGACTCAGACTAGAAGTTAATGACTTCAAGGACTGGTGCGACGTTCTGATTTGACCGCCCCTAACGTTCTTCCATTCGTCTCCAACATTAGTCAGCATTGCGCGCCGCGGTAATCGGTGTATAGTTTAAGCTCCCCTGAATGCTGTTTTCTCCATTGAATGGTATGATTTATATTTGGTTCATTTGTCCAGTCACCCTCTATTGCTTTCTGCAGTATTCGTTAACATGAGTAGGTCATGAAGCGTTTACCACTAATTAGATCAAGACATGAAGTCATTGACTGTCTGAGTGAGGTGATTAACGAGCCTCAAACTTCCCTGTTAAGGTTTGCATTGTAATCGCACTATAAGGTTTGGAAGTGTTAGATAACTTTGTACGAAATCAATCGCAGTTGCGATGATGTAGTCATTCTTTAACTTTCTTCTAACTTTTAATGTTATTCATCCGATTCGTCCCACAATTTCATTGGTTTTTTCTCATTAAGGTCTCTGTGTTCAGTTTTCTTATTATGACTGATACTACTTCTGTTTATATTCATGTTATTTTTCTGTTATTACGCTAATATAAATTTTGCCCAGCAGCTATGGTGTCCAGAATTAACTGACTGACTAGAATCTAACATTACACTAATCAGTTGTATTAAATTTGATTTTATAGTATGGTAAAATATTTTTAAAGAATAGTTTGTCGTATTTGTTCTCTATGGTCGACAAAATGCATATCAAAAGTACGTTTTTTGAAATCATTAATGTGAATGTTTTCGGCTTTTAAACTTTTGACATGTTATTAGTCTAGCGGTTAAAAATATTATGGCTAAATGTCCTGGTAAACAACTTTCTCGTATTAAATGATACTTTTTAAATACTTATATGAAACATTACATAATAAACAGGATTGTAACAGTTCACTTGATGTATACATAACGAAGGCTTTCTAACTTCCTTATGAAAGTTCGTCTATGTTTTGTAACTGGGTCTACCTTTAAAAATAATATTTTGTTAATTCAGTTATCTTTGTATTGAACTTTTCTCATTATCGATGATGATCTTACCAAGTCATGTAATTCATTTCTTTGTTGGTTTTTACACAATGAAAATGACTTTACAAAACTACGCGTTTGTGTGTTGCTTAAAAAAACCCAGCAATTTTTTGTAGTTTTAAGCATCTAGTCTTCTGTTAGTTAATCATAATAAAAAATCTAGTTGTATTAAACTTTTCAATACTACCACATTAAAACTTTGTTTGAATTAAAATCATTTAGTACGTTTTTTCTCTGTATTTCTGTATTTTATATATATATATATATTTGTGTTGAGTAAAAATCTAGCTTGTGTTATCATCTTAAGGTTGCTTTTCAGGTGAATATGCCACTGTGTAAATAAGCATTAACTCCATATGATTCCTTGCATACAATTTGTGAGTATTATGTGTAGATTAGCATTTGTCTAGTTTTCACCATAAACATAAGATTTTTCTTTTCTTGTTGCATGAATTTGGTTGTTTATTACTTAAACTGTTAATATATGTAATCAATAAAGTAATGTTCACTGTTCTTTTTAAAAGAGTAAATATGTTGCCATTAAAAAAAGTCTAGGTTTTTTGTTAAAAAAATATATCCAATTTGTCATTTTCTAGACATATAGTTTCAATTTTATGCATAATTTTGAATCGTTTTTCTTTCAATATTAATGACATGTTTACTAATTGATATTTCACCATAATTCACTCTTATAGTCAAATGTTTCAATTTGTACATCAAATTACTAACCTTTTCATAATAATTTCAGTGGTTAAGATCATCAGTCAGCTGAAGCTAGACCACCATGGAAAACCTGGAAGTACTGAACGGCCGTTTCGTCCTATTGTGGGACTCCTCAGCAATGCGCGTCCACGACCTCGCCCCCTGCGAGATTCCAACCCAGGACCTACTGGTTTCGTGCGCGAGCACTTAACCACTAGACCACTGAGCTAGCCGGCATCCAACGGTGTTAATGTCTAACTACAACTAATCCACGAAATCGATCGACACATCCACTTTTGTCTTCAGTGAGTTACTATCTCACAACAGACCTGGTTGAACTCCACTGATCACTGCTTCTCACTAGAACTCCAGGATATACCTCTTGAAGCCAATCACTAGTGAGCATATGTTGATTAATACCCTCTTCATAATATCTTACTGCTGGAAAACCTGAATAGGATTTCTTTTCGTCATTTCGACCTTTTTTAACTATTCATCTTGTTATTTTTATCTTACTATGTAATATGAAGTAGAAACGTGTATCAACATTCACATGCGTCAGGCTGTATGTCCATAATAACTGACTGAATAACTTTTCCTTAAAGTTCACATTCTTATCTGTAATATTGAAAAATATGTTACAACCCTAACCATAAACATTGTTCTTTTGTATTCTATGTTGTTTATTCCATACAATTCAAGTTATAAAATATAAAGAGTTTTATCTTAGCATTCATAATATTCTGTACATCATCCAATGTTATAAACATAAACGATATATGATAAGTTGTTGACATTAGATACTCAAAAACAAAAATCGATGTATCACATAGAAGTAAATCTATTCAAATATATAGACACTCTTCCTTAATAGTTCAAAGAGAAAAAATAATAAAACGTTTAGTAAAAGAAAGTGTTGTTGACTAGATGTTTGAAATTATTAACAAATACAATTTGTATAACGTTATAATAACTAACTGAATGTTAATCAACTGATAATAAAATATGCTAGATTGTGATCTAGTGACTTCACATGAAATTGGATTTAGTGAATTTTCTTTTTCACTGAAAATTCCTTGAATGAATGACTAAATAAAAATCACAGAATAAATATGACTAAATACAGGTATAATCTATGACTAGATACTTAAAGATTATTTAAAAACAATAAATTTATATAATTAAGCTTCTATGTAATATGTTCTTTTTGTTGTTCACTTTTTTGTCGAAACTGATTCTTAAGCCAACTTTTTACTGAAGACAAATACATATTAAATCTTTAAATCGTCGATTATAAAAAACTATCGATTAGACTGTCGAAGAAAGCCTATTCTTCTTTAAATCAACAATGTGATTAGGATTATAAATGAGGCAGCTTAATAAATTATGTGAGATGTGATCATTTAGACTGTTGCTACTAATGCATTTTTAATTTTTTCTACAGCATCGGTAATATGGTAGATTTTCATTGACGCATTAATTACTTCTTAATTTTCAATTTATTTGGAATGTTTTATTTTAATACTTCGATTACTTTTATGCTACCGGGTCTTTCATATTCATCCAATATTATCGCATTTTAGTATAGGATGGTGGTCGTTAAATTTCATAGTTTTACATTACAGATTGACTAAATGAGTGGTGGTCATACAATATTGCGAAAATGATTCGAGTTGGATGTGTAAATCATTAAAGTACCAACTCATTGTTCTATAGGTTAAATGATCATTACAGGGTCTGAAGGTCCTCAGCTTTATCTGTAATAGAAGTCATAAATGCACATTAAAGAAGGGTCCTTATACTGAAACAAAACAACTATCCGATGCTTCCTAGTTTTTAACAATGCTTTGATTTAAACCAGTGTCCTCAGTGAGTTTTGCTGTCATCAGTTTACTGATTTTTTTTAAAATGAAAGAATAATATTTCGATTTTGTACCTTATCTGTTTTTATAAGAAAACAATCAATTTTATTATGGTATTATATTTTTATTAATAGTAAAACGATTGTCTAATATTTGTGTTGCTTACATGACTAAAGTAATGGTTGAGGTGAATAAAGTGATCGGTATTTTATTTTATTATTATTACAGTTATTTGTCGGAGAAATTATATTTGGTAATAAATCAGTATTCTTCTTCTGACTAATTAAATTTAATTCCTTCTTTTTTGAAAGGAAAGATTATTTACTTTTTTGTTTTGGATTTATAGATCTTTGAAAGACTGTGTGAACTTGGAGCTAATTTAGATGCACGCAATGATTTAGGATTGACTATTTTACATATGAAAGTACGCGATAATAATTTCGAAGATGTTTTGGCCTTATTAGTTCGTGGTGCTGATCCAAATTTACGTAATGCTAGTGGAGCAACTCCTTTACATTATGCCATGACTGTAAGCTTTATCGTTTTTATTTTAATTATGGATAATAATGTGACACCTAGTAGTATTTATATCAATAAATTCATTGTTAGATACACTCACAACTTAGGTGCATCAAATTTAATTACTTCTCGTTCGGTACTCAGACAACTAGTCGACTTTTCACTGACCCTGTACATACCATTTATCACGTATTTCGTATTCTTAGACTACGAAATGGGAATTCAATATTCTATATTTTCAGTTATAATCACTTTATAAGATAACACGATCCTTATTAAATGCTGTCAGCAAGTTATTACATTGCTCCAGATGAAGTGTTTTTCATTACTCGTGGATTTTCTATTAGTTTCAAGATTTTTGGATTTTAACTAATACAGTTTAAAGGCATTATCCTCACCTTAAAACCGAGGTTATATATATATATATATATATATATATATATATATATATATATATATATATATATAAAGAGAGAGAGAGAGAGAGAGAGAGAGAGAAAGGAATAGAGATCGTCAGTAGTCAAACATCTGATTAGTAATGGTCATTATAAATAAACAAAATTGATGAAGTCACTAATATTTGTTCAATTCTAGAATAAATTACGACGGTAATAAATAATGTGGGAAAGTATGAGTAAATAGACATATCATTGTATATATATATCTGTTTTATTTAGGTTCATGTTCTTCTATTCCATTTTAAATGTTTTTCACGAGATTTCAATACATATACACATACATTCATGCGTGAATATCACTTTTTTTCTTTTTCAGTATAATGCATCGATTCATATTATTCGTGCATTATTGGCATTTGAAGCGGATCCTCATGCTCTAAACAGTAATCAGCACAGTTGTCGACATTTATTATGTTGTAATGCTGAGAGGTGAGTTTGAAGTCATTTGGTCGATAGTTTTCTGAGGTTGTTTCTATTAGAAATATTGGTCACTGTGTAATCAGTTTTCTTGTTTTTGCTTTTGATGTAATTTTGATCATGCATTATTTTGAATTGAAATTTGTTCCATAAAACTGATATACTGGTCATTAACTGAGTTATTTTCGTAAATCAAGTAATATGCATTTTCTTCGTTGAACCTACATTCAAAGTTGAAAATATAGTTTGTTGTAATTACTCTATTTGGTGATTTTTGCAATCATAATCCAGCTGTTGTTATTTCATAGCTTCGTTTTGTGAGTATTTCTCCTCAACATCAGTTTTTTCCTGTTATCTGGCACACGGCATTAGGTTAGAGACTATTTCTTTTAAAAATAAATCATTAGTGAGTTGTGAATTACTTGATTTCTTAATTTACGATGTTTCTTGAAGCGTAGTTTATATGTATATATTACTTTCATACTAAGCGTAAAATAATTATTGATGAGTCTATGTATTAGGTAATTGACTAAAGAGAAATGTTTTTGATTTTTCTATGTATCTTCACCTATAATTCTGTGCTAAGTAGCGTTGAGGATTTACCTTTCTTTAACATGGTTAAAAAGAATTTTAATTTAAAAATTAAGTTATTAGATAAATTAAAATCATTGTAGTTGTTGCTAAGCATGATTAATGTAGCTAGCAGTAAAATTCAAGACGCACGTTTTGTCTTATTTTGGACTCATCATCTGGTTCCTAGAGTTGATGTTTACACTGATACTCAAACCTATTACCTTTTTTCTTCACACGTTATACATTGAGCTGCTATGTTCAGTTTACTGTTTATTTGTTCAATGGGTATGAGAACACATAACGCTCATCTTGGTTTATACAACCAATCATAATTTAAATTTATTAAAACATGGAACTAAAGTCAACATCAAAGCGACTCACTCTAGATGCACATGTCTAAACAAAGTTTGGTCAAATCCAGTCCTTAATATACCGACTGTTGCTGCTACTTTGATGTGGTGGTCAGGCTTTCATATCGCGCTGTTGGCATTCGTTTGTTTAGGTCCTGAAAATGTAATCCGGGTAACTTTACTGAAGTAAAAGAACTTGGTGATCTTTTGTCACGTAGACGAAATTTGTTTTTGGCATTTAGGCATATGGGTACAGTGCTAACTTAGTTGATATTTTTTGCTTAGTTTTTCCATTATTATTATTGTTATTATCATTATTATTATTATTTTAATATATGAATATTTATACACGGGGCCACCAAATATATATGCACTACACAAAAATCCTTTGGTTCGAGTTCAGGCTGAGATACTGAATAGAGGCCCAAACCGAGATGTAGAGCGATCTCTTCTCACACTCGGTCGTTCCAAGGGATTTGAGGGTAAGATTTTCCATAGTAGGAGATAAATTAATAAATATTTCCTCCGTTTACTACAGTTATTAAGCAAAGGTTAGCGGAAATGTAGCTGACTTGTCTGAATTAGGCTCTATTATATTAACTGCAATTAACGGCTAATTTTAAAGAAAATGATTTCCTTATATTACCTTCCGTTTGACTACGTCTAGAAGCCTACATTGACTTATTGACCATTTCTATTCTTTTTTAAACTATTTGTTCAGTCTTACTTTAACTTGAGAGTGTGATGTGATTATTGGTAATATTTAGCAATCTAGATAATAAATTCCGTAACCTGTGTTTACCCTTCAAATGTGTTAAACCACAAGGCACTTTATCATATATTTAGGCCTATTTTCCAATTCATTGAAAATATCTGGACATGTATAGTTCATTTTTCTGGAAGAAATATAAGCCTCCTCCGTTGAGCAATGAAAGTACTCTTATTTACAAATTTTGCATATTTTTGTTGTCAATGCGAAGTATGAGATTTTTACCTATAAAGAAGCTATCACCATTTAAATAAATTAGGGATTTAAGTAAACGGATGAATATGCAGTTAATTAGGCTAATCCTTCGTAATATTTTCGATTGCACTATAGTGTCTATGGGAAAGATAGAAAATAGTTAAATGGCATGATTGTTACAAATCAGCACATTGATAATTAGGATTGTTTGAAACAAACGTTGGTTTTTCAAGCATGATGGATATTTTTATTAAAAAATTGCATATTACTTGTCACAAAATCTTGAAGTTGTATTTGGTTATCTTACTTAAAATTCCGAGAGCTATCATTATTAAGAATAGTCTTTTATATTTGGATTGTTATTTACAGTTCAGTCAAGTGATTTGTTTATAATGATTATTAAATTATTTCATGATCTCTCAAAGTTTTGCTAAGAGTTCATGACCCACCTGCATTACCAAGCAACTCATAAGTGGGTGTTATTAAATAATATCCACACCATATCACAATTAAATTGAATGGTACTACAATGCTTTGACTACTATCTTTTGTGGGATAAAAAGATGTGGACTAATGAAAAAGATCCAAAGTTAAATTGACACAGTCTATTCGCAGTGCTTTCTTATTTGATTTCACAGTAATAACAATTCAATTATATACCATTTTATCATAAATAAAATAATATATTTGTAGCATCCCAACGAGTAGAAAAATTAGATTTTCTGACGTTTCGTGACTCGATCCAAGCTATTTCTTCAGAGAACAACTTACCAAATCAAAGTTAATCCGAGTTTGAATAGTACAAAGGAACAATGCAAGATCATAATATTCTTGCGTTGCTCCTTTGTACTATTAATACTCGGATTAACTTTGATTTGGTAAGTTGTTCTCTGAAGAAATAGCTTGGATCGAGTCACGAAATGTCAGAAAATCTAATTTTTCTACTCGTTGGGATGCTACAAATATATTATTTTATTTATAACAATCTACCCAATGATCAATTTATTCGAAATTTTTTGGTTGAGATCATGAATTAATTGATGTTAGACCACCGTTGGAAACCTGGAAGCACTGGACGGCCGTTTCGTCCTAGCATGGGACTCCTCAGCAGTGCGCATCCACGATCCCGCACCCCGCGGGATTCGAACCCAGGACCTACTGGCTTCGCGCCTGAGCACTTAACCATTAGACCACTGAGCCGGCATCCAATGGTGTTAGTGTCTAACGGCCGTCCAGTGCTTCCAGGTTTCCAACCGTGGTCTAACATCAATTAATTCATGATCTCAACCAAAAACTTAACAATCTCCACAACCCCCATATTGATTATTCGAAATTATCAAGTCAAATCTTGGTAATGATACCTACACTTTATCATAATTTGGTCATCAATAAAATCAGTGTTTTTATGTCATTCAGTACAGATTTTTCGTAATAAAACATGAATAGTGAGTTTAGTACTAATTTTTTTTTCATTTTTGTTGCTATAAATTTTCAGTTATGTACCTTCACCTGATCGGTAAGTTTAACTAATTAATAATATCTTTTAAGATTATTTAATATCCATGGAAATTTTGTTAAGAATTTTGCATTTCTTCCACTTTTCACGTTATTATCTGTAATAAGATTTTAAGTAAATACATTTTCTGTTTACTTACGAAATCTTTTCAAGTTGTTATAAAATAAATCAATGATAGATTCTTTAACACTAGCAATAGTAAAACTTTCTTGTTTATATTAAACACATTTTTCAGATAAAGTGTAATATGTAAGCGTTTTGGGGCGGAACTATAATCCACAGATGGGCCAATGAGATTTAAGATAACGCCTTTATTCATAACCCTATTATGAGCCTATTAAGTAGCTGAAGTCTTTCAAGGTCATTTTGTTGTTGCTCTGTGTTCCATAAACAGTTTTATTTACATAAGCTACAGTCTAGTTATCATTTATTTTTTGTGTTGTTGTTATGGGAATTAGACCCAAAGATAAAGCCTTATTGTCTGAAAGGTGTTGGAGGGATACAAAATATTACTCAGAATAGTCCAAGGGAATGCTGAAAACACTAGAAGACATTTTATCCAATCAGTTTTGGGTAGAAGCTTCTCGAAAACATCTAGGAAGTCGAGAGTTACGTGTCAAATTTCTGATCTCTTTTTGCTTGATAGATCGTGGTTACTGTGGAATTGAAAACAGTCGCAGTTTTGTTGCCTCTTTGTATATTTCCCTATTTAATTATCCTTAGTAAATACTGTTTCATGTGTGTTAAATGTTTTGTCAGCCGACCCCAGCTACCCTTATCGCTTAGTATTTTTCAAACATTACTTCACACGACTAGTCCTCAAAATCAGAACATAGTTTGAACAGGTGCGTGATTATATTTCAAACAAACGAAGTTGAATGATAGTGAATCGCAGTAAGAAAAGCATTAGTAAATTTATAATTTTACGTAAGAAGTTTCTAGAGTTTTCCCCGATTATCCGCTAGCCCTGATTGGTTAGGAAAGAGCCAATCGGCTCGCTCCGATATAATACTGGATGAAACATGCTTTAGTCCAATCCTATCCTGCTAACAATGTGTATCAATGCGCCAATCAAGTAACGTGTTTTTATAAATATCATTTTTATTAAGGTTTGTCCAAACCATAATCGTCTTGTATTTAATCGATAGCAGTCATAAGGTGAATGTTATCTACATTATTTTAAATTATTTACTAAGTCAAACAATATCTTACCATAAGAGTTCTGTCTATTCTTTTATTAAAGTTGTAAGTATACTCCGGACATTCGCTTTTCGTCCTCTCAATTTCGTAGACACCACCCCCTTCTCGAGAAGGCAGTAAGACGTCCCTGGCAGTGGCTGTATACGCGTGGCTATGCGAGAGCGTTTCGAGACGGAGAGTTGACTCTCCCCGCCTTCAAACGTACCAGGGCATTTGGGGGCTGGTTCCGGAACCCGGGAACGAATCGGGGATTTATTTCTTACTGGTTCTACATTTAGTTCATATCACTCATAAGATCTAATTTGTATTAAACATATTTTTGTAGTGATTACTTCGAAATAAATATTATGTAGAATTTATGACTGATTTCAAATATATATCTTGTTTTATGTATTCATTGTACTAATGTGTATCATTTGATTGTTAACTGGTAAAAATAATTTTGTAATTGTGTTATAATTCAATTGCTTATTCATTGTATGTAATCAAACTTTTTCGTCGTGGTTAATTAATTATTCAAATTTGTTCACTATGCATTAATATATAGCTAATGTTAAAATGATCTTGGTGGAGTTTTGTTCTCTGAGCTGGGTGGTTTGGTCGTGGAGCTTTCATCGTTCTTCTGAACGACATCATCAGCACAAACTTCAGATAGAAGTGAAGTGTTCGAATTTCTCCATATGTGTTTCACAGCTTGTTCTGTGCACCTCGATGTTGATTGGTTCTTGTTGACCTTAAATTTATCATTGTTTACTTCTTTGTTTTGGTTATGTCTCGCATTGGTTTGATTTTTGTTCCTATATTTATGCATGATTTTCCTGATTGATTGATAAATTGGATTGATTTCAATATGTTTGTTGATTGCTGATTGACCTGAGTGCCAAGCTTCTAAAAATTCTCTGGTGTTTTTGGAGTTTCCTCTGTCTAAGATTTCTACATTTTCCCAATCGAATGAGTGTCCGTAGTTATCCATGTGTATTGGTATAAATGAAGAGATATCATGGCGTTTGACTGCTAATTGATGTTCATGTAGGCGTAGGTGGAGGGGGCGTCCGCTTTGTCCGATGTAGTGTTTGTCACAGTTGGCACAATTTATTTTGTAGATGATGTTTGATTTGTTTTCCTTTGTTATTTCATCTTTTGGTTTGCATAGGATTAATTGTAGTGATTTTGTTGGTTTGTGTGCTACACCTATCCCGAAGGTTTTCAGCAGTCTCGTTGCGGTTTCTGATATTCCTTGTATGTACGGTAGGGTGATCCTTTTGTTGATTTTTGTGCTTGATTTGGGTTCTGATGCTGTGTGCCGTTGGTGCTTTTTGATGAAGTTGATTGGGTAGCCGTTCTTTTGAAATATGTCCTTCAGGTATTTCTCTTCATTCTTTCGTGCTGCCAGTGTGCTGCAGTGTGTCCTCGCCCTCTTGAACAAATTGTGTACGCAGTTGATTTTGTGAGCTCTTGGGAGAAATTCGAACACTTCACTTCTATCTGAAGTTTCTGCTGATGATGTCGAGTGAAAATTCATTAACTCTGCAAAAATACGTCTTCCACACAAGTCGTCCAAAATCACATCATCACTAAACCAAATACATTCATTCATACACTGATTTTTCACACACTTGATGATTCTAATGAAGTTTGGTTCTCTGAACTGGACGGTTTGGTCGTAGAGCTTGCATTATGACTTCACTTTTATCTGAAGTTTGTGCTGATGATGTCGTTCGGAATAACGATGAAAGCTCCACGACCAAACCATCCAACGCAGAGAACAAGACTCCATCGAAATCATCCACCTGAGCTACAAATCTTCTCCACCATGTTAAAATGATCATTAAGTAAAAATGTTGTACAATTTTGAAGTAGTTTTTGTTATGAAACAAAATCAAAATTTAGAAAACTGTTGAAAATCAAAACGTTAGTTATTATTATTAAGCAATTACTTTTTTAACCTTGTCTTATTATAAAACTTCGTTATAGCTTCTCATGTAAATTAAAATTGCAAATATAACAAATACATTATCGTTTACAATGGTTCATTTTTTGTTAAAGATAACATCAATTCATGCCAAAAAAATACATTCAGATTAATTTTGCGCAACAATCTTGTATCATGTGGCTCGATTGTATAAAAATTGCTCAAAATGTTCAATTTAAACATGAAATAATAATTCTTATGTTAAACTAGCCAAAATTTACTTAGAGTATCTCAGAAGTGTAGAAAGCACATGATTAGTCCTAATAATAATAATAATAATAATAATAATAATAATAATAATAATCTCAAGTAGAGTTTTACTTTTTATCGGTAATCTGAATGATTCTTAATATCTTTTTAGTTGACAAAACACTAAGTAGAAGATCTCTTTTTTTAATATTTCGAAACACGACAATAGTTTATGACATTTATATTCATGTATATTTAATTCCATAAATTCTTTAAATTTTGTACAATAAAAAACTGATCATCACTTTTCGATTCACTTATCAGCTGATATAGTTTTACAAGTGCATGGATAAGCACGAAATAGAATCATATGGATACTACTGATGGTATTTTTGAGTAACACATGAGTTAAAGTCTGGAAAAGCTAATAATAAAACCTTAATAGTGCCAAATAATAATTATATGATCTCGATGTGATTATGCAAGTGATATTGAATGACTAACTGAATAATTTGAAGAATAAAGATCATAATAAGCAGAGTAATCGTTTTTAATAGTTAAAAATATGTAATTAAACGGTTGTTAGATTACATAATATTTAATAAGGGAATGAACGAAGTATTTTGAGAAAAAGTTAGTGTTATGATAGTATTAGACTATACAAGATATCATTCTAGTATGACTTTTCTATTAAAGCTCACAATAAGTTCTAGAGAGCCTAAAGCGAGGTTAAATCATCGGCCACAGAACTCAAAAATTGATCAATACATTGTGATAACTATGGATTTGAACAGTTGATATATATTTTTACAATTCAATAAGTAATAATTAAAAAGTAAATAAAAAAATATTTTGAAAGTGAATAAAATAGCAATTAATTAAGTAAAGATTGTTTAGTGTATAGTATGGTGTATCTTTCTGTCCTTGATTATATTATCTCTTATAGCCACATTTAAAGTTTGTTCATAATATGCATATATATTAACACATTCTGTAGATAGCAATCTCTTTGTTTATAACTATCATAGCGTTCAGATTTATGTATCGTGATTATACAAACTGCAGATATCAGGTTATTTGGGTCACTATGACTTTTTTCAGAGGTGAATTAGTATTGAAGAAATAGTTTATGGTTATTTTTAAATTCATTGTTAAAGTCTGTGCCAAAAATTAGATTTTTATTTGCTTCCACTGTGTTGACGTATAAACATAGTACTTCAGTTTTCTTTTGTTTTATCAATTATTTCAATAATTCATAAACTGTTTAAAACGTTGTATGTATGTGAATCGATTAAAGTTGCCGTACCTTATTAGCACAACGTGATAAAATTATTACAACAACAAGTAGTAACTATCAGTGGTAATAAAGGAAACTAAGTATAAACTATATGGTATTTTAACATAAACATTTAATCGTTGTGAATGATGAATGATTCTCGGCCATGTCATTCGGACATTGGTTACTATGATTATGAAGACTCCAACCTAGTGGTTTGCATCTACCTGCACGGCTCAGTTCATCTGTTAATGATTTCATGGACCGATGTTACACATTGGTTCGGTCGCTACTAACTATCATTCAACCTCCTATATAAGCAAATGTTTGATTTCTTAACAGAAGACGTTTGGGCCTAAGTAATGAATATTCTATTCAGTCGATGAGGATTCACTACATGAACTACTAATGCTCCAATGACATCTATAAGCTAAGTACTACTAGTCTACAAATCTCTATTTCTAAAGGTAGAAAGAAATGAGCTGTTGCGCAGTATACTCATAATCTATTTGAAAGATTGACATCTCGCCTATGCTATAGGTGAAAAAAGTTGACAAAAGCCGATCGAGATTTTTGAACTTGTACCGAGAGAGAATCAGACACCTACCCACGAAAACTGATAACCCGACCAGGATAAGATTGTCGATGCACTCAGCTACTTCAATCCCTGCCATTAATTTAGGCGTTGTCATAGACACCCTGAAGTAACGTTTCACACTTATGGGGAAAGAAATGCACCCTAAACATGATCACATTATCGAGTCAAGTGGTCAAAACACTGTACTTTGTCAGCTTCCTTGCAGACAGAATTATATTATGTTCGTACACTGGCAAGAAAATCGGTCACTGAAAAGTCATAACAAAAAGGTTATCTCTGAAAGACTTTCAGAAAAAAGTTAACTAAGGGTGAGAAAAGTGGGAAGTTTTAAGAAATACCATTAGATGTTGTCAATTTTGATGGCAGTTTGCCATAAGCTTTGATTCAATCATTCATGTTCATGTGCAGAACCTTCATAGAGTGTATATACTTCTTTACTATGCCCTTCAGTGTCAAATGCTACCACAAAACCTGGCGATTGACAGACACAAATACTATACTAATGTCGTGGGTTTGTTTAAGCTACAAAACCTAACAAAGGGTTGTTTTTTTATTATTGAAAATGATATAACTAATTGTAATCACCAAGACTCCTTAGTTTGCTTCTTTTCTATTCAAAGTTTTCAACAGTACATTTATATAAAATTAAAAAGAACAGTCAATTCTATTTAAATAACTAAGCAGAGGATTTTCCTTAGTAAGATCATTCAATGTTTGGGGATAAAATGGTGTTCAAATGTGGTCAAATTCAAAGATTTATTATAATTATTGCGAAATCAAAACAATTTTCTATGATATAATAGTTGTTATTATTTACATTTTTAACAGCTCATTTAAACCATTACATTCTGCTTTTACCAAGTTTACAGTTGTTTAAGTTGATCTTTCTATTTGATAGTGAGTTACCCTTGTTTTCTCATTTTATAAATATTACGATGAATAAATAATTTTATTCAATGGGTTCAATATAATATAATCTTTTGAAGTGCTATTTTCTATGTTCATTTACATGAAATCTTCCTTAATTAGAATAAAACGAAATAATATAATTCTAGTCAGTTTTCATATTTTCATTGTCGTTATTATTATTATTATTCTAAATATAATTAATGTTGAAATCTTCAAATTAATTACTCTTTGTTTCGTTTCTCTTTTTTAAAAATTTTAAAAAAAAATGTCTATGTAATTAAAAAGAGTGGAAATGAAACTAGGTCATTCACAAGTATCCTTAGTTGAGCTAAATATTCATGTTAGAATAAAACCTATATTACTTACTTATACCTGTTACCCCTCGTGGAGGAGCATAGGACTCCTACCAGCATTCTCCATCCAACCCTGTCCTGGGCGGTCCTTTCCAGTTGCTATTCATCCTTTTCATGTCTGCTTCCGATTCCTGACTCAATGTGTTTTCTTGAGCCTACCACTTTTCCATTCCCCTTCAGGATTTCAATTTAGCGATTTCATCGTGATGCGATTTGATGACTTCCGCAATTTATCTCCCATCCACTTCCATCATCTTTTCCTAATTTCCTTTTCAGATGGAAGCTGGTTTATTATCTCCCACAGTAGGCTGTTGCTGATGGTATCCGGTCGACAGATATTGAGTATCTTACGTAGACAATTGTTTACAAATACTTGTACCTTTTTGATGATGGTTGTGGTAATTCTCCAAGTTTCGTCTCCGTACAGTGGAACTGTCTCAACATTCGTACTGAAGACTCTTACTTTGATACGGGTTGACAGTTTTTTTAGTTACATAAGTTCTTCAATTGTAGGAATGCTCAATGCTCCTCTTCATTAGCTTGTTTTCCTCTGTTTGTTCAGCCTGTGCCTTGATTTTCTCTGTTCCTGTTCGGCTGTTGTTAATTGCTGTCTTCTTGTTCTTCCTTTCTTGATTTCGATAGAGATCCATTCCTTATTATTTTAATGTATTACAGTTTTCAATCAATCCTTGTTTATGATAGTCCAAACATAAATAATTTATCATCAATGGTGTATTCTATTGTCATTTCTTTCGTGTATTTCTTTTGTTTGTTAATTGATCATACTTAAGGGCGCTCACAACCATGTTGGGCAATTAGTTTTCATACAATTGTTTTAAAGAAATATGATTAGTTTCGAGAAAATGTCTTTAAGTTCGAATGACAACCTTTAATGGATAAATTTCATACAGGCTGAAAGTGCACCATATATCGTTTATAGGAATGGCTTTTCTCGTAATATCGTAAGTTTAAACTCTAAACTATTGGATTCTGACCCAATGACCTGAGTTGGAGGTGTGAAGTATCTGGTTTCGTTTCCTGTCTAGGTTATAGATGCTTATCGTTGAGGAGTCAGTCCCTAAACTAACATTGAACAAGTGTTCATAACTCTTTGTTTCTGTAATGGTTCATCAACTGATATCAGTTCGTGACAAAGATCGTATTAAAAATAGACATCAGTTGTTGTTTGTTACAGTAAGTTATTTTTGATTATTTGGTATCTGGTAATTTCTAAAATAATTATATTGACTTACAGATTTTGGGATATTGCTTAATACTGCTGGTAATGTTAACGGTTATATTGATCAATTTTTTTTCTTCCAACTTGTTTTTTTTTACGGTAAAGAGACTTAGCCCTGTACACTTTGGATGCATTAGGTATCAGTCGATGTCCTCCTGGGACTGTGGATTGTACAGAAGGTTGTATGGACCTAGAATGTGCTGAAAAACGTAATCTATCTGTATTTAATGGTACACCTCCAGAAGTAGTTCCTCATTTAGCAGATATCACACGTGAATGTAAGTTGCTCTGTTTACCAAAACTACGCTATATATATCCTTTTATTTATATTCTGGATGGATAGTTTGTAATCGTCTTGTTATAGAGGATATATGATACAATGACTTAGATCTATAGTATTATGCTCTTTTGTTGTGGTATGAGTTGCAGTCCAGCCACTGTAACATTCTTCTAAACGTTTGGACAATTTAGTTAAAGTACGAAACAAAGAATGAACAGGAAACTATATTGGTGAATACTGAACGATTGTAACTAGAACTCGTGTCTTCTGAAAAGGAAAGAGGCTATGTTCGATAAAAATGTTGAGATGACATTAGTTAATTGAATAGTTACTGTAGTTGTTTTGCGCTTTTATCTACCTTTTTATAAAAATGCGAAACACCATATGACTTATTTAGTTCTTTTGGTTTGTTATATTGTTTCATAAGACTGAATTCCTATTCATTTCTATTTTATTTTGCAAATAATAAGTTTAGCGTACCTACTAGTATATCAACTCATAAGAAATTATTAATTTTCATTTACATTTGTTATTGAAAAGCACAATCCTGATTTAGTCTTTTCGGCTTCTGGTTGACTTGTTCGCTCTATTGATTTTCAAACCTGATCGTTTTTATTACTTATTCGAAGTGAATCTCTGTATGCTAATAAAGCTGGAATTTATATTTTGTGATGAATAATTCATAAACTAATTAATTTTTTTATATCAACGTTAAGTTCTTATTCAACTTTAGTGATCAAATGTGATTATAAGTGGTTAAATTTCAGCTATAAATACACGGCTCCAGAGCCTATTTCATCAAACGGAAGTAAGTCGGTTGGCACTTCAAGTTGTGCTAACTAAACAATGAACACTTTGTTCATTACACAGCTCCAAAGTAGAGCATTATTGATAATTAACGAGTTGTCGATACGTAATTTCTTTTAAATTCAGTATAGTACTCTGGTTTAAAAACAGACAAACAAATATTTATTTTAATGTAAGTGCACTAATCTTTAATTCAACAATTATAACATTTTCGTGAGATTATTTCATTATATTCAGTTATTACAATCACCGTAATTCTATACATTCACCTACTTTCTCGAAAAATAGTTATTTTTGTTTCTAGTGATGTAGTTTTATGTACTATAGTGTTCTTCACAAAAAAATATGAAACAATAAACGCCTCGACTAATCCGTATCAATAAATTTAACATAACACAAAGTGATAACATAGAACTGGTACGAGTGAAAATTCATTAACTCTGCAAAAATACGTCTTCCACACAAGTCGTCCAAAATCACATCATCACTAAACCAAATACATTCATTCATACACTGATTTTTCACACACTTGATGATTCTAATGAAGTTTGGTTCTCTGAACTGGACGGTTTGGTCGTAGAGCTTGCATTATGACTTCACTTTTATCTGAAGTTTGTGCTGATGATGTCGTTCGGAATAACGATGAAAGCTCCACGACCAAACCATCTAACGCAGAGAACAAGACTCCATCGAAATCATCCACCTGAGCTACAAATCTTCTTTATCATCTCACTTGATGACTCGATAGTGAACATCATATTTATGAAGAGATGCATAAGGTTACTGGTAAAACAGATACAAAATTCGTACAGAATGATATAAAAAATATAATTGTCACACTGGAAGGATGTTTACACCTGTCATACTGATCAAAATTGACACTTAATGATTACGAAATATATTAACCTGAGATTATGTCACACTGGAAAATATAGACTCGCTATAATATTGACTAAATGTTACACTAATGGTGAAATCAATGTTGAATATCACGCTGATAAGAAACTAACATTTTACTGAATGAAATATCATGATTTGTTGCACTGAGAAAGAGCAATATGTAAACTTCTGTATTCCGACATATTACCTTCATAAGTTTGTCAGTAATTAGCGTACTTTAAGTCTATCCTTGTGGGTCATTTGTTACGGAACCTTATGTTAAATTCTGGTTGTTTTTATGTTACCGATCACTAAGTTTCTTGTCTATTCTCATTGAAATGTAATAATCTTTTTCGGAACTCCATTTGCTTTCACTAAGTACAAACTTTAAAAACTGTAACGCAATAAAGTAAATGTATATGAATTCATTAATCAATATGACTGTTATTGTAATTCATCAGTTCACTAGTTATTCTACAGTGTTTACACTAATTATTAAAACAAAATACTATTTTATTTCGCAAAAATATCTTCACTACTTGTATATGATATCTTAAAATTAATTATTTAATTGTTTATTGTTAAATTATAGCAATTGAAGAAATTCTCTTATGCACTACTTCAGTTGATTATAACCCTTCACTTCAAACAAGTCAAATGACTCAATCTCAAACAATGTTGAATAATGACTTATCAAATGGTATGATTCCACGTTCATACAATTCTCATTCAGAAAACCATGATGTAAATCAGAGTAATATTAAACAGCGACATTCACAACAATTTTCACATACTCCAAAGTCGCATCGACGAATGGTATCTTTACCAAATGATAATAGTGTACAGTTAGTCAGTCAATCCCTGTCTAACGGTAGTGTACACCTGGCATCTTTTAGTGTTCGTAAGTTGAATTCTACTTTGTAGATATTTTTTGATATCTAAACTAATCGTAACTCCATCTGTAGCTCTTCTGAAGCTACTGCCAGTTCCAAGCCCACACAAAGGAGGAGGGTTGGACGTGTAGTCGACAATCCCATACCGTAGAAAACAACCTTGTTAAGAAAAATGCTAAACAAATTAAACCATTTAAACTCTGCCCTCCTAGTTGAAGGAAGAATCATGACACCTCATAATGAAATTCGAGACCTATGCCCATTCTAACAACCAGAGCAAACATTTTTATCGGTACATAGAACGTCCGGACAATGTGGAAGACCGGGAGGATCAGTCAAATAGCAACGAAAATGAGGAGATACAAATTGGTGCTTCTTGGAATCAACGAAACGCATTAAACCCAAGCTGAACAGAAAAGGCTAGATACGGGAGGGATGCTTCTATATTCCAGTCATGAACAGGAAAATGCACTAAGCACTCGGGGAGTTGCTTTGATGCTGGCCAACAAAGAACGAGACACACTTATAGGATGGAAATCTCATGGACCCAGGATCATCAAAACATCATTCAAAACAAAGAAAGAGAATCAGAATGAATGTTATCCAATGTTATGCACTCACCAGTAATAGCAACGACGACAATATAGATCCGAAGGACACCTCATCAAAATACCAAAGAAAGGAGATCTAAGCAAATGTGAGAACTACAGAGGCATTACACTACCGTCAGTCCCCGGAAAACGTTTTCAACAGAGTGTTGCTGAACCGGATAAAAGACGCAGTAGACTCAAAAATACAAGATCATCAGGCTGATCTCCGTAAGGGTCAGTTGTGCACAGACACTACGGATCATCGTTGAACAATGAGTTGAATGGAACTCGTCACTATGCATCAACTTCATTGACTATAAGAAGACGTTTGGCAGTGTGGATAGGAGAACGTTATGGAAACTTCTTGGACACTATGGTGTACCTGAGAAGATCGTCAACATCATACGGAATTCATACGACCGAGTTTCAGTGCAAAGTGATGCATGGAGGACAGCTGACAAACGCATTCCAAGTGAGGACCGGAGTTAGACAAGTTTTCTTACTCTCCCCCTATCTCTTTCTTCTGGTGGTTGATGGATTATGAAGACCTCGACATCTGACGGGAAGCAAGCAATATAGTGGACAGCTCGGAATCAATTAGAAGATTTAGACTTCGCAGATGACGTGGCCCTTCTATACCACACACACACGAACAAATGCAAATGAAGACAGCCAGTGTGGCGGCAGCAATCTCTGCACTAGAAGGCCTCGAAATACACAAGGGAAGAAGCAAGACCCTCAAATACAACACGGAGAACACCAATCCAATCACACTTGATGGAGAATACGTGGAAGTGATGGAAACTTTCACGTATCTGGGAAGCACCATCGATGAACAAGGAGGATCTGATGTAGACATAAAGGCGAGGATTGGCAAAGCGAAGAGAGAATTCCTACAATTGAAGAACTTATGTAACTAAAAAAACTGTCAACCCGTATCAAAGTAAGAGTCTTCAGTACGAATGTTGAGACAGTTCCACTGTACGGAGACGAAACTTGGAGAATTACCACAACCATCATCAAAAAGGTACAAGTATTTGTAAACAATTGTCTACGTAAGATACTCAATATCTGTCGACCGGATACCATCAGCAACAGCCTACTGTGGGAGATAATAAACCAGCTTCCATCTGAAAAGGAAATTAGGAAAAGATGATGGAAGTGGATGGGAGATAAATTGCGGAAGTCATCAAATCGCATCACGATGAAATCGCTAAATTGAAATCCTGAAGGGGAATGGAAAAGTGGTAGGCTCAAGAAAACACATTGAGTCAGGAATCGGAAGCAGACATGAAAAGGATGAATAGCAACTGGAAAGAACCGCCCAGGACAGGGTTGGATGGAGAATGCTGGTGGGCATCCTATGCTTGTCCACGATCAGTAATAGGCCTAAGTTAGTAAGTAAACTGATTATATCTAGAAAATTGTTAAAATTGTCAGAATATTGAGCGACGTACCAACTCATAATACTTCTTTCTTTAATATATATATTCGTAACGTTCAATTCAATCCTCGTCATAGCATTTCATCAATAAAGATGAGTGATATGATTTGATGTAAGTTTAATCAGGGGTCAAATTATTCGTGATTTTTTATGTAATTTTGTCCTGGGTTGTCTTATTTTTTACTGACTGGAAAGTGTGCAAACTACCTCTTTGCAAATAATCAACACTATCGAGCATTCTCTCGCTATTCTTAGAGAGCTAGCTAGTTAGTTTTTAAGAGTTGTATTTTTTAAGTCTATATTTTTCAAACAACAAGCTATTTTCAAAAAGTGATTTAGCAGATAGTATATATATACGAACTGTTATGTTTGGGGATTTGAAAGTTTTCTCACTCTTTTCCTGATTGAAAGTAACTGAAGTGTGTAGATAGAAATTAAAACAGAAGTGTCTCATCCTATATTTTAGATGGCTACATATTTTCCCCTATTTATAAATGTTTATTTGTTTTTTAATTGGTTGTTTAGTTGTTTTAACACATTATGTGTAGGTAGTTCTGACCTAAACTTAGTTTGTCACAGTTAGTTTATTTCTTTACAACTGTTCTTCTTGTTTAGTCTCTTTGGTCCCAATAATTATAGCACTAATATTGATTGTTCACTGTAATTATTTTCCCTCATGAATGCTAACTTTTATTGACGATAGCTACGCCAATAATTGTTTTTTCCACTGGGCGTACTTACGCAATTTTCATAGAAAAATGTCATAAATTCAAACGATTCATTGCAGAAGTATAATATTTTAGCAATTTAAAAGTTCTCATATAATATTTGAGACCAAACAGCACCAAACCAAGTGATAGCTATCGATAACTTCTTCAAGCGACTCTACTGTTATGCATCAAATCATTATTATTATTATTATTATTATTATTATTGTGTAACAATTAACAAAATATTAAAGTTGAATTAATCCATGTTCTAAATTGAAGTTGGTAAATTTCACATCGATTTAGTCGTAAATATTAAAAAATATTCAATAAAATAGAGTCAATAGAAATGCTAAGATGAGATCACACATAACGGTCAAAACAATTATATGCTTTCGGGTGATCACTTGTGATCGGTAGATTAAGATTCTATGTAGAAACAAGTTAATAAAAAGTAGGAATTATTGTACTGTAGTTGTGATTATAATAGTAATCATAATAATAATAACAACAATAATTATTATTACCATTAATGATATTAGCTGTTATTAGTAAGAATATCGTGTGAATAGGACGAATGTATAGTCAAGGTTAAGTAAAAAATATCTTACAAGGGAGTACAAATCACGATGAAGGGTATGCGACAAAACTAAAGCAGCAAATTCATGGATGTGTATTTACTTTGGTGACCGTTCAAATCCAAACTATTCATCTGTATGAAATCCCGTATTATTTGCACACTATTGTGTTTAATAAAAAGTATCTTAGTAAACTGTCTTAGATTCTGTTGACAGTATGCACATAGGTTTCTAGCTAAATTGTATCACTCTGATTTGTTATCAAAGGTTAGGTAAATAATTAAGTGAAATTATTTGATAAATTTCACATCATAAACTGTTTTTGGACAGGAAAATCTCGGAAGTACTGTACAGTTATCTTGCCCTAGTACAAGATTCCTCAGCAGTATTTTTGAACGATTGTATATAACGTTGTTTTGAATGAGAATATAAAATGAAGTAACAGAAATTTCATTATTACTAGTCATACTGTAGTGAACGAAGACTTGGTGGGGACAACCAATTTATTTAGTTCAAAACTACAAAGTTTCTTCGTAAATTATGAAAACCTTACATTACATACTCCATTTGCACATCTTCCATCAGTTTCTCTTTACATACTTTATAATTCTCACAATGCTCAATTCTTTTGTTTCCCTATCTGTTCAGTTCAATCTTCTCAACCTTCTTTTGACAGACATTTCGCATCTGATCAGTGTTACCTACTTCTAATATCCATCAACATAATTAGCATGCTCTACAATACAACTACTACTGGTACAAAATATATACATAATTTCACAATTTAGCGAATTGTTAAAGCTAGACATAAACACCGTTGGATGCTAGGTCAGTGGTCTAGAAGTTAGGCGTTCGTGCGTGAGAATAAGGGCCCCGGGTTCGATTTCTAGATGCAGGGTCGTGAATGTGTATTGCTGAGGAGTCTTATACTAGCACAAAACATCTATCCAGTGCCTTCAGGTTCTCAATGGTTGTTTAACGAAGATCAGTTCGTGATCTGAACCATGAAAGTTTGTCACGTAGTTTGCAGAAAATATAATGCAAAACATATCTGAAACTCAGCGGACTACAGAATCAATAATTCAGGATTAAATTTCTGAAACTCAAATCATTACTTGTTCACTGAAACTGTTTGGCTAACGATGCATGAATCATTGATTATTTGTTAGTCTATACAGTAATAAAGTTCATGTTTTTCTGTCCACCGACTACAAACATCTGATATCAAAACAGATTACAAAACATAATATCACTCCATTTATAGTATTTATTACATTACTAATCACCTAAAATCGATGTAACTCTTATAGGTTAGACATGATTGGTTACAATCAGAGAGGGTTTTTTGTGGAGATTGTAGTAATATAATGAATAAATTCATGAGTCAATTGAAGCTAGACCACCACTGAAAACCTGGACAATGGACAGCCGTTTCATCCTAGTATGGGACTCTTCAGCAGTGCGCATCAACGATTCCGCCTCGCGAGATCCGAACCCAGGATCCCACAGAGTTTTAATTACATTCTCACAGTAGCCTTTTGACAATATTTTTTAAATTAGGAATTTAATTAATTATAAATTAAAACGAAACACATTCATGTATAATTTTTTTTAAAGAACTTTTAGATATATGTTATTTTCAATTGTTGATAATTATCAGACCAAATTTCATATTTTCATCTTGTATAATTACAAACATCTGGCATTACAATCTCAATTGTTATATATATTTATATTTCATTCTCCTGGTATGAGTATTATGTTGTTACTATTGTGGTTGTGGTTGTTGCATCTTTATTTATTTAATCCTTTTTTTAACTTTTAGCCTCTGACTCAGAAACTGAACTCACATCGAATTCACATTCAACTGAACAATTGGGTCATACTAAATTTACTAATGTAACAAATAATTCACAACAAGTAAGTGATAATAAAGTTGAATTTATTGTAAATGTAATAATAATTTTACATTAATCATGCATAAAAGACTGATTATATTCTATATATTGATTGTCTGAATATTCATGTATTCACAATGTTGATTCAATATTAAATGTTCCATATATTACACCACAAATTATGAGCATTCGTCATTTCATATTAGTAATTGATATTTACTTTGACCATATTATATATTCTTCACTTTAATCCCTTAGAATAAATTATTTAACATTAAAAATGAACATCTTTTTATTGCTTAATAGCTGTTGCTTTATTCTACTTCAGAACTTGTGGAATAATGTTAAAGGTGTTCTTCGCAACCTTTTTTTCGCCTAAATTTTATCTTTACATGAAAATAGTAATTATGTGTTCATTAGTGACTAACTTCGACAGGCCGTTCCAGTAATTATAGTGAGAAGCTGTGAGAAGTAGGATTCGATTATATCGAGTGTAAGCCAGTTATCCATCTTACGTAATGGAAAATGGTTTCTCAATATCGTGAATCAATTGAAGCCAGACACGTGCATCAATGGATTGAAATTCAGCGGTCTAAATGTTAGGCGTTCCCTCGCGAGACCTATGGTCCTAGATTTGACTTCCCATAGTAGAGTCGCTTATTAGCCTTGACCTTTTCTATATGACCATATGAGTGTACATTGCTTACCCTACTTATCACATGTCTTTAGTTCATTTTTGTCTGACTATAAATATCGAGTCACACTTGATCAGGTCGAGTTAGCTCACATGCATTCTCCGCTCTGTTCCTTTTTTCGCTTTTCCACTTCTTATTCTGAATCTCATTTTGGGAAGAAAAATACTCGGAATAATTTCATCCAACGCGACCCGTATTTGACTTCTTACAACCGCCGTTACACAAACAGGTTTATCCTAGTTAATATACGGAATTAAATGAAAAATTTGTGTCCATAACATATTCATACGTTCATCGGACCACAAAAAATCCAGCAGTCTTTAAATTGTGTTGTGATTTCTAAATTTTCACTGAGATTTGAATTCTATTCTCAATACGACTATTTTTGTCATTTCCGTTTTTCGTTACTTTTGCAAATTTACTAAATTTTAAGGATCGAATTAATAAATTTGATCACCTAACGGGGTATATATGATTCTATCTTTAATCTTTTTCTTTTTCCATACCATCATTTTACTACTAAACATAAAATTACTTTGTTCTATATAATTAATTAGCTTACAATTCCCTACTGTATCAGATTATTATCATTCACTAAAGTGAAGAATATCATTTTTGTCTATGATTAGCTACATTTATGTGTTCGTCTGGTTTACATTTCTATTGATGATCCATTATTACAATTTTTGTCATTACACTCACTCCTTAATATTTTATTCTAACAGGAAAGTCGCCTTGAATCTATCCATGACTAAAAAGCGATATATTTCATTGAGTTAAATAGCATACAATGATTTTGGAGCTGTGACTGAAACTCAACACATTGGATATATCGGTGTCCAATAACATTCATATGTTATCTATAAGTATTCAGGTTATATCTCGCTTATTTGCTGCACTACAGGAAATTGGAGAAATGGGTCCTAAAATTAATACTTGTTTTACTCGTGTAATTTTTCCGCTTACAAAATCAAATATATATTTTTGATAACTTTATCCAATTGATGATAAGCAAATACTCTGTTCTTTCAGATAAATAGGTTTTGTTAAGTACATCAAAGATAATTGTCTGATGTTATGATTAAATCGTTCACTCATGTTTGTGTAGCGTGAAAAACCGCAGAACTTCTTTGTTAAAATATTTCATTATTTTCTCAGATAGTAAACACAAAATTTATTTTCACATATATCCTCTTGCTTGTTTTGCTTAACTATTTATCTCACTAAGTAGAATAAACTTCTGATCAAATTATTCTTTAGTATTAATTAATGCAATACCAGATATAAATTTTTGTATAATACAACAGAATTTCGAATAGTCTTCTGCAATCTGTGCCTGTAGAGTTACTCTAACACGGTGAAATAATAGCTAGTAATATCATGCCCTGATTCGAAAAATAATTTTTAGACTCGATAATCCCTGATATTATTTTCCATAATGGCAATCAAATCTTCCTGATTTGACCATCTGGCTCAGAAAACTCGAGAACGCTGGAAGTATTCAGCTAAGCTGCAGATTTTCTACATCATTTCAGACATTCTTGTAGTATTGTTTTTTTGGGGGGGGGGATTTGGTTTTCATTATTGTTACCCGAGGTTACTGGATTTACGCCACACTTTCACAAAACATTAAAGCTTGACGTTATAAGATCTGCGAGCATATTACTTGGTTGTCGAGTTTAGTCAATAAATGTTAAGTTCTTACCTTTAACGATAATCATGATTACTTTTTTAATGTAAGTCTTCGTATAATCTGTGCATTTTTCCGACTGGTTATTACCACTTTGTTTGCTAATTTTCCGTGTTTCAAAGTTATGTTTTTGTTACTATTTGTGCAGAGTACTGTTCCAATTTTTCCTCAGTAAATATCAGTTTTTTCTGTACTAATACTACTTTCTTTCTCGGTTCCATGTTCGGAGATTATTATTAGTGTTGTGTGTCAGTTATTGTAACATCTAGTTTACTTACTCGAAATAATCTTTACTGTTCATAAACAGCGATTGCCATACTTCCAACTGAAATCTTATCGTAATTGTTTATTAAATTTCAACAAATTTTTATTGATAATTATAGATTTTTAGACTTAAGTTATATACAACGTAGAGCATGACATATATGTACGTCTGTTCAATTTCGCATACCACATTGGCATAGCAAGATGAAATTCTCAAAACAGATTCCATAGAAGGTGTCAACTTCTAGTGGAAAAAAATCACTTTGAACACCTAAAGTTATTGAATCATTAGTCGCATTAAAGTTTACTTAATACTCTAGTTGTTATAATCTTCAGTGACACAGATAGGGGAGTTATGATAAATACTGGAATTGGACGAAGAATATATGTATATATATTCACGATGTTTTTAAGGTCGAAAGTCAATATCTTTAACGATGTTGTACCAGTTTTTGAATAATGTCAGCTAAAGAACCAATTAAGCACTTAGACTCGCTTTAACCTCCTTGAGAAATTTAATAGACTGATGTTCAGAGACTAACTGTCTTTATAATATTTGAATAACGTTGTCTCGATATACTATTTGTAGGTAAGTAATAATTCATCCCTAGTTTTACCGTATTCATATCCCATTAGTAAATCGAAACCCTAACTCCTTGTTATTGGCCAGCGTGACCATTATTTCGAGGCAGTTCTCTCGAGGAACTGTGGCCAGTTGAGGTCATCCATGTCGATACAAGCAATAGTTACCGATTTCATTTTATGATCGTTGTGCTAGATTGGGGATTAATCGGTGTTGAAAATGAGAATCATTGGATTCCAACTGCGTGACTCATATGTTTAGTTCGTGCCTTGAGATTTGCAGGTTCTGCTTTCGTTCATTCGGAATTCGTGGGTGAATGGTCAGAGATCTCATGCTAGAACGAAACACCTGTTCAGCACTCTTTGTTTTTCAATGATACCACAGCTTATGTCAGTTTGTTACAAATATCACTTGATATTACTGTTACGTTTTGTTCAGTCATAGTGTATTAATAATTTTTTTCGTTGATTCCTTAAATTCATTGTTTCTTTGTTATTTTTATCTTTAATTTCAATTTAATTTTATTTTTGATGTCAGTAATTTAAAGTAATCCTTAATAAACATAGAACCACTTAGATATATAGTTGCGTATTGGAATATCAGACGTTATTTCAATTTATATTCATTTATTCGAATGGCATTATTAACCCATCATACTCCCTGTTCTCATTCGAGTTAATATCAGTTATTTACTTGAGTAATAATCAGGCATGTGTCACATTTAACTCATTTGTATACTTTATTCCATATTCACAATCACATCAATTGGCTTACTCTCTTGCTTTGAAATTCTATACCTCGGGTTAGTACCCCCTATTTTTTCTATGTAAATACCATATCTACGATAATTTCCATAGCTTATCTGGTTTACAGAACAGATATGTCACTGTTAGAATGTCCTAGTGAACAGATCATAAAGTGTCTACACTTTTTTTGCTGTCCACTCGCTTTCTTCCGGTTACAATACTACCATGTAATAACGGTGTTTTTCTTTGTATAATTGTAACATCACTTTGCGACAATGAGGTTCTCGTATTTAATATGTTCACTTTTTTATTTTAACTACTCAACATTTAGTCCTCTGACAATACAAATCCCAGGAAAGTACATTTACCAGTAGAGGCAACATGTAATTTCAGGCCTACAAAATGTAATTGTGATCCTTCAGTGTTCACTAAACGTAATGGAATACCTATGGATTCAGGCACACCATCAATAATAACAACAACAAATTGTGCTACTGCTAGTACTTTTGACACTATTCCTACAAACACTGATATTGCTGATATATCTAGAAATAAGGGGGATGATTTGGACAAATTCACCAATCATAATCAACTATCTGACTTAAATACATATGATGATGATCATAATCATTGTAATTTTACCGGTAATCAACATGGTCTTAAGAAATCCAAAAAATGGAAAGTTGGACCTAATGGCCTCCGTGTTCTATCACTTGATGGTGGTGGTATGCGTGGATTAGTTATCGTACAATTACTTCGTGCTTTAGAAATAGCATCTGGAAAGAAAATTACAGAATTATTTGATTGGATCATTGGTAACGTTTTTCATCATCACTAATATTTGTTTATTTATTTCTTATTGATTATGATTATTATTGATTCCTAAAGGTCATTTGAAACGGATGTATCAGATATATTCAACTTAGAGTATGGTATGGATTCAAGTTGGCTAAAGTTGTTATCTTACATCAGCATAACAAAATTAACTTAGTAAGATTAATGAGAAAGTTTGAATAATTTTGTAGCAATGATAATAACAAAGACTAAATATTGTCTTAAAAGAAAGGACATTACATTTCAAAATCTAGAGGAAAGTGAAGAGTGGATCCGTCTAGGTCAGTGTGATCGATTCTGAATCACATCACCTAACGTCTTCATCCACTGGTCATAATAATCATGTGAATCATGAACTCTTAAGTGCCTCGGCTCAATTTTCAATGTTTTATGGACTAATGTTATTTTTTGGATTACCCGTTCCGTTTTTTCTCCAACATACTCCTACTCTAACCAACAGTTCACGTTTAACACAGGCGGTTCTTATACATTTGTAATATATACGTCAGCTATTTCAATTGATAGTGATTCACTTAACTCATCAGCTGATTTTTTTGTCGTTGCATAGTATGTATGCTGTTAATAATTATCAAAGTAGATCCCACTAACTAATAAACAAAAGATATTCTAGCTGTATCACGAACTGGTTAGAGTTTTTAAGTATTTACTTTGTCATTCCAAATCATACACTTAATTGTGTAACATAAGTAATATGATTATTTCAATATTTGTCTTTATAATTTTAAACAGATTTATTACTTCACATTTTAAGAATGTTGTTAGAATAAATTCAAACAATCATTCTATTCTTAATTATCTCTTAAAAATTTCCTGCTTAATTAATTTAATGTTTTGTTATAAAACGATCAAAATATTTTTGGAGGCACTTTTAAGAAAATTGACACGAAAATATATAGTTGATTATAGGAATTATCAACACTAATGGCAAGTATAGTTTTTTTAAATCTTTCCACGTGAATGTAAAGTGTGTAGTAAACTGAACCGTTATGCAGTATTGTTACTTTCTGCCAATTTTTTATAGTTATTTCTAGTTAGTTTTTGTTCACATCTTTTGTTGTTGTTGTTGTCTACATCACCATAAGTCAAGGTATTTTCTGATAAGAATTAGTGTATAACATCCTGTCTAGTTTACATTTCTCACATTTAGAGTTTTCTACGCTTCAGTGAGTAATTAATCACAATGAAGTAAAGTGCAATATCGTAAGTTTAAGTCTCGTTTGAAACACTAACATATTAGTATAGAAAAATGTGCTTAAAATTTAGCAGATCAATTTTATTCGGATAATCCATTGTTCCGTTAAGAACATATCTCTGAGAAAAAGAACGCGGACGGTCTCATAAAGGCTGTTTACATCAGTAAATAGTTTGTCATTTAAACAACTACGTTTTACAACTAAACAATCTTAATCACTAGTAGATTGTTGTTTTTCAAAGTACATTCATATTCATCTTCTGATTTATGTTTAATAATATTAATGATAGTCGCCATAGTAAACTTTTATCATTGAAATATGTTGTTTTCGTTTCACTTTCATATGCTTACTATTTCACATGCTTTTATTGATACTAATTGCTCACTTAGTGATAATCATTATTATGTCACTGAATGACGCGAATCCTAATTGTACAGAGAGAAACATTCCACTCAGGATTGTAAAAGTGTGTGCCTTATTAATGAATGCTTACTACTATGAAATTTACATTAAAGTTTTATTAACAACATTTGATGCCATTTAAGTAGATAAATAAAGTATTATTTACTTACATTATTCCAGAATGCGTACTAAGTTTACAGGCATGATTTGGTTGATACATAAAGCAATGTTACATGTAAAGCGCAGAGATACATGGTTAAATTGTCTGAAATAATGTAGTTCATAAATAGTTTCAGGAAATTCTTTACAAGGAGGAAGCAGAGTGAAACCACTAACTCTTAGTAGGTGTTGGGGGTGCTAGATCCCCAGAAATCACTTGGTAAACATGTTATTTTTTGGAAATTAGAACTTCCAGTTTTCGCGCCAAAAGCTTTCATTTTTACCTTCAGATTGTATTTCCAACTTGAAATGACCCTAAATGTCATTGGTTAGTTGTCTCTTTTAATATGCAATTTTGCGACGTTCCCCAAGGACATTTTTATGCTATATATACACTCGAGCTATGTGTTTGTTTTTGTTCGTGCTTCTGGCTACTTGTGGAATACACTTTTCCTCATCTGAACCTGAACTTCTCCCTCTAGTTAGCAGGGATGGGACTCACTGGAATAGTTTAGCTGTCCTGTCACTGCATCGTTGATCCTTCTTCGCGTTCGCTGATTTTTAGGTAAACTCGTAATCTCTTCAAACATACTAGTAGAGGGACTAAGATTATCTTTAGTGCCATTAAAGAGTAATTGCAACTAGAGAAAAGAAAACACAGAATAATAGCAATAAAATTACTGTTACGGGTCTGCCGTTATACGAGTGCCAAGTCGTTTCATGACCTTCTGATTTGGACAGATACTATTTAAGTTAATTAAATTAACTGTGGACAGAGTAGGTGTAAAATACATGCAAGAAGGTAAACTTAGTAAGTATGCCCAGTAAAAACAGTGTTCAAACTTTTAATGTCTCTATAATGTCACTTGTAAAACGGGCTACAGTCACAGACTCATTTTTAATTGAGTTTCGGAGAGGAAGAGGTAACCATAAATTTCTCGAACAAATGTCGCTAGTGATGTTATTTCATGTACAGATTGGTGGCAAACTATTCCAGAGTCTTGGAAGTTTACTTGTATAGTCATTGATACAGAGAGAAGACTTAGAATGAAACATTTTCACTTTCAATGTAGAGATACAAATGCTGAAATTGGGTGTTTCGACATTTTGGATTGCAGCAGTGGCTGGAAGAGTTTTTTGGCATTTTGAAGAAACAATTACATTCGGCTTCCATATGAAGTCATTTTCAAGCCTAATGCATCTGGATTTTCAGTTTGAAGTATAATTATCCCCAAGAATGTAAACTTTACATCGCCTCTCGACAAATCCCAACGTACGTTTATTGTTTTTGTTAGCACTGCTCAGAACATAAAGGTGCAGTGTTCTACTTGTGGTCAGACCCATATTTTGTACATTAAAATACGCAAGTCATTGTTGTAAAGTTGTTATGTAGTATGCAATCCAAAAGTCGTCACGACTTGTTTTATGTGTGTGTGTTTGTCATTTTATGTTTATTTATTTATGTAATCTATCTTATAGGTACTTCAACTGGTGCAGCGATATCACTATTTCTAGTATCTGGCAAATGTTTACATTGTTGTCGTACATTATTATTTCGATTCAAAAATCTTGTCTTCTGTGGTAAACGACCATATCCACCGGAACCATTAGAAATGTTAATGCGTGATGAATTCGGTGATAATACTGTAATGACTGATTTAAAAACAGTCAGGTAATAAATACTCTGTGCTTTTATCGGTTTAATTGATAATACTGACTATTTAAAAATAAACATATTTTAGCTAAGATTGATAGAAACGAACACTGGGTCAGAATAAAAGTAGTGTATAGACTTGAACCAGTACAATACTATTACAATGACCAGAAGTAAAAGGTTAATGACTGTATTTTTTATAACCTTTATTGTATTCGTTTGTTAATTAACAAATAAACCACTCATAGACTGTATTATTTTAGTGAAGTTTTTTGCTTATAAAAATGATCATTTTGATTTCATCATAAATATTCGCATATACTCAGTCAGTTAATAAGTGCTTCTGGGCTACCTGTTCCTGCCATCTAGATATTTCAACATGTTATCTATTTTTGTTTGTTTTAATATATCATTATGTTTATTAATCGCATGACCTATTCTGCTGCGTTTCTGAAAAGTGTACAACCTTTCGTTGTCAAAGCTACAAAAAACTCAATAAGAGACAATGTGGTTGCTGGCAATATACAGCGAAAAGAATGCACATTATTCAGATGTTCATTTACTGAACCGCTAACATCTAACTGGCGATCACTTAATATTTGTCGCCAGGACCGACCAAGAAGAAAGAAACGGAAACTTGTTGAAATACTTTACGCTAAGAATTCTATATTGTACCAAAAATATAATATTGAATAAAGCTGATAATAATAATAATAATTTAATTTTTTCTGTAATTACCACAATCATTTATAAATTATAAGATTAATGCATATAGAGTTAATACCACCTTGAAATTGTGGATGACAAACGACTTTATATATGGTCTTGGCTAGAACTTCCATCATTCAGATCAAACACAATACTGTTTAGTTATTTGAACATATTCCAGTTGGTTACATCTTGGAACTCTCTGATCAGTCGGAGAAATAATACAATTACTATTCCGTCTGTTCTCACCTTCACTTTGCTTGTTTATAATTTACCAATAGGCCCTAAATTTGATTTCGTATGAGACTGTCTATTCATTTGGGTGAGATGTACTCACGAATGTGATAGATAATTAACACTGTCTAGTTTCGTATCTAGTTGTATTCGTTCTATAATGGCAATTAATTTTTATTTGATTAGATCTTTGGCAGAACTATCCTGTTTATTTAAGAATTCTATCTAAACAGTTAATTTCCTTGAGATTTAGTGTAGTTGTTCAAAAAATACAAGTTCAGTTTATCTAGTCGTGAAATATGCACCAAAGAGATTTTATGATGCAGTCAACCATTGTGGACACGAATAAATTGTTATCTATGAAGTAGATGAACTGTTAAAGCTGCGTATTAGCAATTGTACCAAGGACAGTTTGTAAATCAGTTGACAAAAAGTGTAATCAGACGGTAATCTTATTGAAATTTGATGTAATTGTTTTAAATTTACAATTTCATAGAGAATTGAAAGATTTGAGATTAAATAACTGTCTCACACCCGATACAGATTAAACTCCACTAGACAATGATCATAAATATATCATTGTTTTATAACTAAAAGTAAGCTGTTTAATAAGCTAGTAATTTTACAACCTCTCTATAGAATTATTTTTCAGTTCTGTGATCAGATATGTCATGAACTTACAATACATTGAAATACGTTACTGTTTGGTTTAATATCTCTTACTAATCTCATTTGGATGTTTTTAGACAAACCAAGCATTAATTTCTCAATAAAACAGGTAGCATTGTTTTTCGTTAAGTTGTTCTGCATCGAAATAGTTTCTTCAAGTAATTTACATATATTTATTCGTTCTAAAAATATTAGAGTTGCTGTAACTACACTTGTCAGTGATCGATGTCCACCAATATTGCATATGTTCAGAAATTATAAATCTCCCCGTACTCGAATACAACAAATTTTAGAAACACGTCAATCTGGATTAAAGTCTTCTGTGTATCAACGAACAAACAGAAGAAACAGCGGATTAACTCATCGTCAGTCTACTTCCGCCCTTGAGCTTGATCGTGAAACTCAATCTACAAAATCATCAACACTTTCAACTTCTCAATCTATTTTAAATTTTTTCTCAAATGCTCAGGGATTGTTAATAGGTAGTGAAACAAGTACCAACCTTTCAACATCTGACACTGAATTAAATAATCCGTTTGAACAAATGCCTGAAGATAATGAACATGTAAGTCTTTCTATTTCGTAATTATAAAAAAGCAAATAATGGCAAGAATTTTGAGCATTTCAAAATGATAAAGATACGTTGTCATGTAGAAATAAATATAATGAAATCGGATTTTAAAACACTGTAAATAATTTTCCTGTGAAATATCTTAGTCATTTAATGGGACGATGACGTAAGTGTTAAAACATTTAGCTTTAAACCAGTAGGTCATAGGTTCGAATTCCTATTTCATCTCCTCCGGTTTAGGAAACTGAGCAATATTCCTATTATTTAGATGGATAGTGACTAAAAGTTCAGTTCATAAAAAAGAGCCATTTCTGTAAAGTAATGTTATTTATCTCATATTCTGTTAGTTGTTTGAAGACTTTTCAGGTTTGAATAGCTATACTTCATGACATCTTAAATTAAATTCTTATGTATAAATTTATACTTCACTTAAGAATCAGTTTTTTTCATAAGCATTTAATTTTGATTTAAACGATTTTGAAGTCTTTTAACTGACCATTAATGTTGACCAGTTTGATACTTTACTACCTATTGTCCAGATATTATTACTTGTTTGTTGAACAATTTTATAAAACACTAATAATTCTTCTTACAGTTTTGTTTTTAATTCACTTATTATTTTAACTATTATTTAGCCAATTTGGAAAGCTGCTAGGGCTTCAAGTGCTGCACCGACATATTTTAGACCTTGTGGGCGATTTTTGGATGGTGGATTAATTTCAAATAATCCAACACTAGATATTTTAACAGAAATTCAAGAATTACAACTTTTACAACGTTTAAAAGTAAGTCATTTATTTAAACTTGTGTGGGATTTTTATAAATTACAGAATATTAAGTCATATATTTTATTCTATAATAATGAAAATATATGACATTACCCAGACAATAACAATTTTGACACTGGTCTAATAGTCTGTTAACATAATCCAGTAATGAAAAATAAAAAAAGCAGAAGAACAAGACAAGCTACACATCAATCAGTCTATACATGTGATACTTCGAATTAAAATTCAAAACAAGAAGTTCAGCGAAGGGATCTCTTTTCATAAAATTTGTTATCTAATTGTACAATTATATATATGATCGATTGACGGCCGAACTAAGTTATTTGTCTTTAATCTTAAATATGAAATAGTCTGCTATGAATGGGCCCAGTGAGGACCCAAATGCGATATCAACTCGTTGTCTATGCGTTTCTTTGTTAAAACTGAACTGGATAATAAAGGTATGACGTAACAATAGCTCTTTCGAGTGGTGGGTCGGAATGTTTACATCTATATTATTGACATCAAGATATTCACTAATGTGGTATATGCTGCTTCAAATTTCTTGAATAGATGCAACTGCGTAACTTGATAATAAATTTGTTTAAAAGAGATCCGTGCACTGAACTTCGTATTTTTAACGTTTAAATTAAATTAAAATATTTAATTTTTAGTTATCTTACATAGGCTTCTTAGTCACTAAATTTGGCTATTTCCTGTTATTTCTGGTGTCGCGTTCGTAATACCCACTTATAATTGGGAACAGGAATCATTGCGATTCCTATAACACAAAGTGATAACATAAGGGCTAGTAGGAGTGAAAATTTATTAGCTCTCCAAAAACACGCCTTACACACAATTCATCCAAAATTACGTCATCAATAAACCAAATACATCCATTTATAAACCGGTTTTACACACATTTGATGAGTCGTTAGTAAATATCATATAAATGAAAAAATGCACAAGATTTCTGTAAAACGTATACGAAATTCTTACAGAATGATATGGAAAATATAATTGTCACACTGGGAAAAAGTTTACATCTGTCATACTGATCAAAATTGACACTTAATGATTACGAAACGTATTAACCTGAAATAATGTTAAACTGTGTTAGAGGAGACGTGAAATCGCCTTTTTATCCCAACTTGTCATTTCTTTAACTCATATCCAAATTGTTTAACATCGTTTGACGATCTTACTGTAGTTTGTTTCTCCCTGATTATCCTGAGCTTTCTCTTAGTTAAAGATACGTAATCAAAAGAGACAGTAACCTACATTTCTAGGTTAGAATAGCTTTGCTGCAATTAGTTGGGTTAATCAACTCTGAATGCAAAGACAAATTAAAGTACTTATGTATTGCGAGTAGTGAGTGTTAAGAGACGAAGAGATGGATAGGGTTACTGTGGTAAGTTAGGGTAAGTGAATTAACAAGACTCTGTATGAACCATAGTAATAAATCGAATTAAAAATTGGCTCCCCAAATGTACTGAATTCCAAATGGGAAGAAACTTGTCAACAAGCCATGACTGCAGTCTCAAGTGAGCTGAAACTCCTCATGAGGTTTAAACATTTTCCAGATGGCTTCGCAATCTAAGATCTTATTTCGCAGACTATTCAAAGGATATGACTGTATGAACTAACTAAGAAGTTTGTTCAGCTTAAACAGTTTAGCAATTACAACATATAATCCACACTGTTACTGCTAAAAATAAAAGTGTGGGTCTTTTACTACTCAAAACGTTCAGTAATTATCATATATTTTAAAGTAAGACTCATTCTTTAAACATTTTAGAATAAACCTATAACTCCTATAGCAGTGGTTGTTTCTCTTGGGACTGGACGGTTGCCTGTAATGCCTGTAGAGACAGTGGATGTATTTCGTCCACAAAATATTATGGAAACATATCGATCTGTACGTGGTTTCGGATTTCTTGGTCGTATTCTGGTTGAAATTGCAACTATGTCAGATGGTGAGTTGTTCGATAGCTTGAAAAAAAAATCAAATTTCATGTGAAACTAGTAACTCTGACACAGTTAACTAATTGTAAATAATGGTGCATCAAAATAAAAAGCGACACAAACAAATCACCCACAAAAGGGTAGGCAAATAAAATTAAAGGGTGGTAGTTTTAAATGTGTAATTCGTTTGTTTAAGCTCCAGAGAGTTTAATCAATAAACCGAGGATGGGGATATTTAGCTCTCACATAGCCACATGTATACAACCACTTTCAGGGAAGTCCTACTCACTGCCTTCTCACGACATTATTGTTGTTTATCTAATTGAGAGGACGAAGAGCGAATGTCCAGCGCTTTAACGGGGTCGGTGAATATAGAGGATCCACCTAGACGAGTTGGAAAACCCTAATTCCATACTAATGGTGCACATGAGCTCCAGGATTCAGAGAACAAATGGCGTATGAACCAATTATTCGCCACCGGCTACCATGGAACTGCATCTCCTTGCTTTGCTCCACTGCCTTGTGGATCAGACATTTAGGTCGAAGGCTCCGGGTATGACCCCCTAAAAAACAACCTACTTTGGTTTGAGCACCCTGGCAGTATCACAGCCCACACACAAATCAAGTGACTTGTGTGGCGCATATATTTTCGGTGCCCTTTTGTACCAATATTTATGTGTTCAAATAATAAATAGTATTAATAATAATGGAAGTACCGGAATCGTTTTAAAGTAATAAGAATTCACCATTTCTCCTTGTGGCTGACTGATTTAAAGTAGTGCATAGCCCGTCTTTTACTACCGAAGTCAATACATTCAGGTGTCACGACAGAAATTTCATCGTCAGTATTTTCAGTCTCCAACACTTGGTGCCTTTATATCCAATTTTATTCAGGGTTGAAACTTTTGGTTATTGGTTTCTAAGCTGATAAATCAATAGTAGCTATGGTGTTGAAAAGCTTAAATATCTCAGGTTTAATCCTAAAATGATTTAAGCTTGCTTATTTTTCAGTAATGATGTCTTACTACTTATTGGAAACACAAACATGTCAACTCGATATTTTCCCAACCAGCAGATATCGACGTAAAAAAAAGCCTTATAGCAATCAAATAAAGAAATGAAGCTAAACTATACTGTCACTAACCGTTAATTTGAGTATTATTTGGGTTTTGGCGAAAACGAATAGTAAATTCCATGGAAATCACGAGCCGATACAAGTTTTACAACTACTAAAAATCTGGAAGAGCTAGACGGCCGTTTCATCCTATCATGGAACTCCTCAGTGGTGCCCATCCACAACCTGTATGTGGTAACTGAACTCAAGACCTTCGGTTTTGGGCGCGAATGTCTAACCTTTAGGCCACTGAGCCGGCATCTATCGATACTAATGTCCAACTTCAACCAATTCATGATATTGTGCGACCATCTTTCACTGTTTTCGGTCGGTAACGTCTTCAAACCCGACACGATTTAGCTCCACTGATCGCGGTTTCTCACTAGAACTCCGAAACTTTTCTCTGGAGCACATGATAATCGCCGTTATGATGTTTTGAAGATTGTTGAGTTTCAATGAAATCACAAAACGTCGATTGCTTCCATGTTTTCAACTGTTGTCTAACTGTGATCGGTTCATGATATCAATGGAACTCAACTCATGATGAATCATGATTATCCTAGAAATCAGTAGTTGGAAACGGTGAGGGTATACAGTTAAAAATCACTAATTGTTACGTAAATTCATTCCATCTTGTAGGATCCATTTAGACTTGAATCGTATGGGGAATTCATGTGAGAGACTGATACACACTATTACGTGACCTTATCTTTACATGCTTATAATATATATAAATCATTTTTTATTACACTCCAATCAAATTTAGTCCGTAACGTATTAAGGGAAACAAAGAGTACGAAGTTAATCTGAATGGGTCTATAATATAGACCCAGCACAACAACATCAGAATTTTCTATATTGTAAACATCTTATTATGTGCTTTTTCTATCCACATGTACTGTCTTGTGAATTTTAAAATTATTTCTTAAATAATTAGACATTGGATAACTTGAATTTATCTAAGTAATCTGTAATATTTTACTTTACTTTATCTGCTTGTGTTCAGGATGTTACGGCCCTGAAAAACCACTTACTTGTCATGTTTACATTTTTAAATTTCAGTTTCTATTTGTTTGCACACTGAAATTTTCCTCACGGCAGAGATCCTTCATTCTTACCAAGACTAGCAATACTACTTTCCTATTGATCTTTTATTCTTTTAGTATGCGAATTTTTCATTTTATTTTTATGGTCATTATAAACACATTTACATGCGTTTGGTGTTCGTTTAAATCAACGTCCTTTGATTTCTTCCAATAAATGTTTTCCACAAGGTTTATTTTGTAAGCCAATTGGGCGTAGTTGTAGTATCTTCACATATCTGGCTTTAAACTAACTAGTAGTTCTCTCCATCTAGTTCAATACATCAATTTGTTTAGTTTAAGTGTATTTCAGAAAATTTAATTTTTCTACTCATTGGGATGTTACAAATATATTAATTCATTTGTATTTCCATATTGTTTATTATGTAAACATTTTAAATGAAAAATTTATCTTGTGATTTTTAACATTTTAGGTCGAGTTGTTGATCGTGCTAGTGCATGGTGTGGTTCACTTGCAGTACCATTCTTTCGATTAAATCCTCCATTATCAACTGATATTAGTCTTGATTCTACTGATAGTAAAGAACTTTTACTAATGATTGTTGAAACTCAAACTTATTTACGTCGAGTTCACGAACGGATTGAACTGTTAGCTTCATTGTTGCAATAGGATATATTTTTATGTAGAAATTCACTTGTTTTACAGGTTATTTTGTGAGATATTTATATGATGATTCGTTGATTATAACCATTATTATCAAATAATTTACTATTGTTCAGCATACATACTTCCGTCAAAGTTTACGGAAAAATAAGATTCCCTGCTAAAAGTTATTGTTCCAATTTTTGTTCATCAATTCTTGACCTTTGTTTTCTAATCATTTACAAAGCTTTCGGAATTTCTTTTTATATCTTTTATTCATCGTACAGAATTGATTTTATTTATACTTTGAGTAATAACATTTTAATATCTTATTTTGTGAAACAATTTACGTGATAATCAGTATGCATACATATAGACATACTGCTTCAAACTTTTCCCCATCAGCTTATCTATTTTTTTAAAAAAATTTCGATTCCGATTCTCAATGTGTTAAGATCATCAATTGATACATTCGAAAAGAAAATCACTTTTTGATGGGAGAGAAACTGTGTATAATATTGTTTTGTTAACAATTAATTAGTTTCACCATAATAGTAGGTAGCTACTTGGGTGGATCTAATGATACAAATTCTTAAGTGGTATGGTGTCTGGAAGTTGTCACATTGAAGCGTAGTGTTGGAAGACAAAATAAATTAGAATGAAGAAAGTCATAAAACATAAAATCCAAACTTATTTCTATGATAATGTTTCTAACCACTATCAACTTTGAAGTAGTTGCGACCATGCTATTGTCACCGTTCATGAGGTTCGCTCTATTGCTTAGGCTAGAGATTAAATGAAAATGCACGTGTCACTCGACGGTCAATTTATTAAGTAGGTTCCAGAATGTTCGGTGGGCGAGTAGCTAGTGAGTATGTAGTAAATATCCAGTGCGGGATAACAATATAGTCAAAAAAATGTATGTTAGTGAATAATTAGTCTCATAGAACCATCTCGGTAATAGATGACTCAAGCATTTATTCTCGCTGCTAGCCTTACTACTAACCGCTTAATTGATTCGATGATTTATTCATTTCACTATGTATATATATGTCCATGTTATTCATGTTCATTGCTCTCGCTTACTCGTACTCATATTTGCTGACTCACTCGTTTGCCTGCTTGCCTTTCGGCACAACTCTTTCATGCTTTTTTAACGCACCTGTAATTTTGGATATCTATGTGGGCTAGTCTTAAGAAAAACAGACGTAAAAGGATTTTCTCCATATTTGCATGAGCATACAACAACGGATCTGACAGAGTGAATGTCCGGTTAGTTACTGTGCATTGCTCGAAACATTATGTTGAACCTTATTTTGAGAAACATTATTTCTAAAAACACTAATTTACTAGTAAGTGAGATAGGCAAAGACTATGGACTACCAAAGCAAACTTTTCGAACAAGAGATATTATCTTAACGTGACTTGTGTTTCTCAGACGTTTTCTGTGTCCTTACACAACGAAAATACCATTTTTGATACAAAGAATCTATACGGAGCTTAACGTTCGCTAGATTACTTTTCTACTAAAATTTATTTGAATTATTAGTTAACTGTAGTCTTGACTCAACGCACTACTCGGTTTAAACGGATTTTTATGTTAAAATGCTCGTTTTGGTTTCAGTAAATTTCAAGTGTTTATAGTACTTGTTTTGATCTGTCTAATCCGTTTTGAACATATTACTTCTTTATGCGCTAATGAAATTTTATTTCAGTCTCGTTAACAACCTGTATTTCACTATGGTCACTGAGAACAATTGTAAGCGACCTGAATGCCTTTTTGCTGTCAGCTATGGTATGCAGTGTGACAAATGCAAAGTTTGGTTTCACAGAGGGTGCACAGACCTTCCAGTAACTGCTCACAACAGACTTGGTAAGTCAGATCGCAAGTAGGTACGCGGCATATTCAACGTAAGTTCTGTGGATTTGCTAAGCAACATCACTCTCTTGACAATTCTGAGAAAAAAATATCGGCAACCCTGTAACATGGCAGTCTTGAAACGGACAAATAAACAAAGGCTCGCAGCAAAGTAAAGTGGAGGGTCTTTATCAACATCGGTATCGACTGGATACGCATCAACACCAGCGAAGTTATGATGAAACTGATCACCGCCATAAAATCGACAGTGTTACACACTCTCAGATTTGTGTCCTCAAGCACAGTCTCCTTAAGTGCAATTGTGGTCCCCAAAAATTCTGTTGACAACTGGACACTGTCAACAGAGTTAAAAAAGATCGATTGTCACCGTCACAAATGCTGTACAACATAAGTCTTGTAAGAAAATCAGCTGATGACTCGGTCGTGCAATCTGCTCCAGTCGACGAAAAGTACGAGAATCCGGGCAGCTATCCGACTGCAAACGAAAAGGACCTCAACCTCACCATGCTCGACAACCTAGGAAAACGATCATAGTTCGTGATGATTCTCCCATAATCATGAACCTTGAAAACAGCTCTGACCTTTCTGTCAATCCACAGAACACAAACAACCGGATACTCTGGGAGGAGTTGGATAGGAAGCCCTAACTTACCATAATTTGGCCACTGACTGTTACATAGCTTACCCGGGAAAAGGACAACAAACACTAAAATTGTCCGAGACTCTTTCGAGTATCGTGGAGAATGCCCTGCTAGCCAGTCATTAGCTAAAATAAGGAGATATGCGGATGCTGCACGTTGTACCATATTCTCAGCTCAATTTCATCAGGAACATAAAAAAATGACCACGTGAGACGTTCTTTCACGGAAGAAATATTATTGTGCAAGGTATCCCAGAAAACACGGACTCTAATGATGCAGACTACGATATTCAAGAGCAGAAGTTCATAAAACTGTCCTTAAACGTTAAGAAGGTTTCAACGTTTTCACGTGGTTTTAATTTGTTTTCCTGATAGTTTTTCTCTTCAATTTAACAAGATTTATTGGCAAAAAATACTTCATTTCTGATAAGGTTTCTAATAATTTGACACCTCATCTTGGCACTCAACGTCATACACTAATTCTGTAAGTTCTCACGCTGTTCATCTCTTTTCGTTCACTTAACATATTGGCTCTTGACAAATATTGGATCTCATCCTACCATAGAACTTTATACATCTAATAAGTTATAATTAGCGGTTCACTTAATACAAACCTTATATTTAGGCTACTTTAAATTATGTCCAAGCCATCTAATACACATACAATCTCTCTTGATGTCTATAGCGCCTGCAAAAGGTCAACTTCCGTCACTAGAGCGAATTATGTAAAGCTTTATAAACACACCGATCAGTCTGTATCGTACTCCGATCTTCCCACAGCTACACTAGACGTGCACTATGTACTTGGACATGACACGTCATTACCTTGAATCTCGCTTACAGATATAAATAAGACCGGCCACAAACCGTTTGAGTCGACATCACTTGGCAGTCCACTCAAAAGCGTCTGATGTTGTGAGCAGCTTTCAGGAAGTGCGGCTGACCCAAAACACTCAACAAATCCACAGTCAGCCATCCTGTGTGGCGGCCCACAGTGTGCATGTAAGCCTGTCTACAATAGCCAACCCAATGATCTAGATCTTTACTACTTTATTCCTCAACTAAGTATGCGCAAAGTGACCACCCAATAGACACTTGCAACAAGTCTGTATGCAATCATATCGACCCTGACAATTTTGATGTAAAATCTAATAATTTTGCCAGTGACAGTTCTAAGAGCAGTCAAATAGAACTTAGCCTCACCCAGACTATTCAAAAGTTATTAGCGTACAAATCTCCAATCATTGTTCCGGAAAATTCCGATCTCGAAATCATAAAAAAACACTGCAGAAGTAATTGACCATATATCATCTGAAGTGCTGAAAAGACTATAGTGTACGTAGAATTTCATTGTTTATAATATACCTGATAGTGTGAACGTAGTCTTTTAAAAATATCCCAATTCAAGAATGTGGATTGTCTCAATCTTAGTGATTAACAAGAAGTTTACGTAAAACAAAAACGAAGACTTCTTATTCCATTCTCCTTTAGTTTGGTAGTATCACAGAATCCATTCACCTCCTTAATAGTCACTCATTACTAAGGCATATCCCAACATTTAAAGATATTAGAATCATCCATGACAGGATTGCTATCCAACGTCGAATTTCAAATCAATCAACCCAGCCTGCGTAGTAGCCACATTTACAATGATCGCCACTGCACAAACGCTAAAACACCATTTTCTATCCCTCCTAAAAATGTAGGCACGTTGCACGCTGCTACTCGTTCTAAGAACAAGACTACACATAAAGCAGATGCGGTTGTTCATTTTAAACCCAAACACCTAACTACTCCCAAATACCAATCCACTTATGTTTCTATAGTACCCCAGCATTGCCCTAGTGTCTCCAATAAAATCTCAAAATAGCCTAAATATATTCCTCTCAGAAATTGTTATAAGAGCTATAGCCGCTCGATCACCGCAGTACGAAATAACACTAAACCCTCTGTAGAAACACATAAGTGCTCCAGCGCCCTTGACCCACAACATGCACCTGTCCATAGAAGTAGAATGCCCTTCAGAAAACATGGTGGACTGGCGGTATCAATTCATCCCAACGTGTGACTACACCCGACTAAAACCACGCCTACACATAATACCAGTAAGCCTTATAGTGCGAACCTTACAATCTCTGTGATCCAGTACACAACCGTGCGTAACACAAACACCTCCCCTGGCAGCAATGTCGCGTAATCCCCCATTCCTTGCTTCAAACATGCGACCTTCTCAACTACCCATAAAAGGACTACGATTGCACACCGCCCACAAGGAAGCTGTAAAGTTGGTCTACTTGGGAACCCACCTAGTGATTCTAGATACCATCAAAGTCAAGCTACCCTATACAACTCTGTGATCTCCCCTAATTTGACATATACACGACCTCATCCTTTTTTATCCCCCTCCCCCTTGACAGTGCTGCTATGGGGTCTCTAAATGTTGAGGGCGAAAATCCCACTATTTTGGGACCATCCCCTATGTTCTCCGACCCAATGCGGGAATGACATATCTTTCTTCCCACCGATAACTGTCTCTGGTCTCGAAAGCTCCTTGGCTAAACCTCTTGACCATTTCCCAAATGCAAAACCTATCTATTCAACTCACTCGACTCTACCTGTCATTCCTAAACATACATTTCTCGCTAAACTACCCTTCGACTACCTACCTCCCACCAGCTACATTGGTTACAAAACAAACGAACATGAATGTGGAGCCGGTACTCCTACTTTTTCCTCTTCTCCTCATGACAAAACAGACAATGCACTAGATTTACATCGCACCTTTCTATTATACAAATATTCACCGTACCTGACAATTATGTTAATCAATGCTCGATCTGTACAAAATAAGATTACTTGACTACAAACGCTATCACTTTTAGACAACCCTTCACTTGTTTTGATAATGGAAAGTTGGTTGTCCTCCGATGTCACAGACACCTATGACTGGGGAGACTTTCGATTTCTAATCAAGCACTCTGACT